GCATTGAACTGCGAAATGCAGGACCTGTCACACATAAGGTCTCCTGCATGGATACCTGGCTTAGCGTGGTACTAGGCCAGGCTTGGCAAGTCCCAGCGTCTCCTAGAGGATCACGCCCGCAACATCAGCTCAAGAGCCCATGTCCATCCAACGGCGCGTAGGACGAACCCTGGGCGAAAGCGTTAATTAGGGCGGCAACTGTTACGGGCATGGTCTGGCGGCAACAGAGCTCTGCAAACAGTATAAATTGCAGGATCACATCGACATCCAGCTCAATGTCGTCCTCTAAACATACTCCGTCTCTGCAACTCTCACACACTTTACTCCCATCAAAACGCACCATTCTCGCCATGGGTATTTCAGATGACCCCTTAGTCAAACGACTAATCGACGACTCGTTGAGGTTCGATGAGTTCGCAACTAAAAAGTTGTGGAACCATCTCTTTTCTAAGGAGATTTTTTACGAGAAGGAGTTTGTCGTGGGCCCTGAGCAGCCTCCAAAACAGCTTGAATCTCGAAGACGGGTCGACTTTATCATTGAACGGTTTGACGGCCGAGACTTCGTCTGTCAGGTCATGGTCGAGCTGAAAAAGGGCAAGTCTGGGCCTCAAGACGTCTTAGATGCGGAGCATCAGCTATTCACCGCTTGTTACGAATATTATCTGGAGAACCCCGCCCAGACACGAATGTGGACGTGCAGTATATGGGGTCCCAATGTCCGCATCTGGGCTTTCGACGCTGGGCAAGGCTTCCTGACCCCCGCACTCCCGGCCTATGGCGACTCGGGGGACAAATCGTCCTACCTCGACTTTCGAACGTCGGAAGCAATTCTGATGGAATACTTCGAGAAAATCAAGCGAGACCCGCAGCTGCTCGACGACGTGTTCGAATCGGACGATAGCATGGCGGACGACGTCATCTTGGAGGAGTTAGACCCAGCGAGTGTCACGTTCGCCGTTGCGTTTAAACAGCGAAGACAGGGACCGAAAATCAAGACACCAGAGGGCGTCGAAGTCAACACTGACAAGACTAGATGGGAACCAGCGCAGTGCATGGTGGAGGGGACGATGGCTAAGGGCCACAAGTATGTCGGTAACTCGGGCACGGTCTATTTCTCCACAAATGTCGAAGATTGGTTCTAGTCTTAGAGTACATTCGCTCGTGTATCCGGCGGACTTTTGTCGATCAGCTTTGTTTTAGTTTTAGTCATCACCATCTGTGTTGCTGTTGACCAAACCTCCAACGTGTCCCCGTAAGAGCAAACAGTCCATTCTCCATCGTTGCAAGTGTCCTTCCCCTGTGAGCGGGAACCTCTCACCATCACCATCCGGTGATTTGGGCGCTCTTGTTGCTGAACAACCTTGAATGAGAGCTGCTCCACGGCATCACATCTCTCAGCTAGATCAACCCCTATGCGACACAGCCCCAACGCCTTTTCTGTGCCATCAAGATACTCAACTATAAGACCCCGACAGAATTGAGCTTCCTTGTCGCGGAATATCCAGATGGATTTCACGCATGACAGTATAGCCAGCGCATGGCATGCGTCTTGAAGTGGTGGGTTTCCTGGGGCCGGAGGGGCGCCAACTGAGCAGGCGTCGCCTTCTGTTAACACCCCCCGAATGACGACAAGGTTGTTCCGCGCCACAACACACAGAAGAGTCGATCGCGACGTGGTGTGAACGGCATAATGTAGCCCCGGTCCAACTGGTGGTGGACCAATGTAAAAGTCTCCTCTATGGGGTGTCCTAACCTTCGGGTTGTCAGCCAAACCAATCGGTTCTGTGAAGTATGAGCTTACGAAATAAGTCCGTTGATTCAGTTGAAGTTTGCCATGTGTTATCCCGATCCGAACCCCAAACGCTGAGATCTTATCTCGGGGGGGATTTGGGACATAAACCCACGACACGAACGGCTGAACCATCATCTCGATTTGTGCGAAGGTGGCATCTGCGGTTGGCGCCGCGGGTGTATGAGCGTGAATCGCATGCAAGTTCCTGTTAAACAGGAAAAACGTGATTCCTGAGCAGTGATCGAGATCAACGGTGGCGAGTCGATCACCGTGCTTTGGGGACGGAAATTGAAAGCCTGCCTTTGGTGACAAATTAGGCTTGTCCGTGAGTTGGAGCGTTCCTGGTTGAGGGGGCATTGCAAGACGGCCCACACCGAACTGGGAAAAGACGTCAGAAAAGGAGCGAACATTAAAGATACAAACGATACCAACTTGAAAATTAATAACCAAGTCGTCATCAACGCCGACCGTGGTGTATATATCGGATGGGGATCGCAGCTGCGCAGTCGAACACCCGGATCTCTCTATGCACCTAATGCCCCTTGAATCAATCGTCATCTCTATCGGTGAGGCCGAGCCTGCCGGAGCTATAATTGGGAGTTTCCCTCGGTGCCAGAACTGGACTTGGCGAAGTGGTCCCGACAAGGGCGAATCAAGGCCCTTGAGGTGTATGAAGTCGATAGTCTCAAGCACGCAACACAGACGCAGAAGATCATGTTGCCCCAAATGCCCCCCAATCATTGTTGTCAGTTCAGGGGGAAGCTTTGTAAGTCCGGACATCTTGAATTCGGCGATGGCGAGCGTGATGGCGCGCTTGCTGGCGCGCGTGATATCCGCGGTGGGAGGAAGCAGAAGGGCTGTGCTCCGAGGCCACGGATACCTCGCAGTTGAGAATATCAGTAGTCTGTATAATTTGTCTGGGAGTTCTGTTCGCGAGCTGTAGAGGTTGAAGCAATCCCTGTGAACGGTGGCCGTATCCGCAGCCGTTGAGCACGTTATGCAATGCGGATGCCGACAAAAGAGGTAGGTAGCACGGGTTTGTGGTGTTCCTATTGCGGCAAATGTCGATGCATCACAGGCGATAATATGCGTTGAGGAGGCGCGCACTGAGCAGTAATCCATGTCAGCTGAAGTCATTTCGTATGGAAGGAGTGAAGGCCCCTCACGTGCAACCAGATGATCTCCGAAGACAAATGGAAATCCGCACGCTCCGCATTGGCGATGAACACGTACGTGCTGAAAATCTACCTCTTCCTGGGGCTTTTGTGGATGCGACATGATTGCAGGTGTCGGACCAAGGGAGAGGTAAGATGATGGAGTATGGAGCGATAAATTCAGCGGGTCTGATATATGACCTGCTTAGTCAGCGGAGTAATATTTCACCGATACCGATGTCGATCATCGGGCGGCGAAAGCGTTGGATCCTTGAACAGGCAGAAATTAGGAGCGCCATAGCCCGCTTCGAAAAATTAGTTGGCGCCATGTACTCGTCGTGATCATGGAAACCCATGGCCTCAAGAGCGATTATGGCCACTCCACCGCGGAGTTCGCAGACCTTCAGACAGCAGTAAAATCGATTAACACCATAAACTCCCGCCGGGGGGGCCGCGCGCATTCCACGAACATCTTCAGCCGCCTGGGCTCGGCCAAGGCCCCTTGATCGGCCGTTCATGCGGCCGTCCTCCGACAAGAATGCGTGCACGCTTGGGGAGGGCGCCAATTGGGTTTGCGACAAGAACGCTTTTCGCAAACTATCCAATCATATGCTTTGTTTTAAGCAGGAGAAAGGAAGACTGTTGGTAGCAACCCTGAGGCGGAAGTTCTGGTGCGGGGCCGGGCTGGAGCATCTGATCATGGTCCGACATTTGGATCTCAGCAGGGATGAACCTACAGAGGTTTGCAAAATCGGTGTCCGTTTTGCAAGTCTAAAAATTTAGTTGAGCACAGACCAGTCGGTCTTGGCGCGTACGGGGTACATTGCCAAACGGCTGGGGTACTTCTATGGAAAACAGTACATCAGCTGCAGAAGCCAGAACTGGCTTTTCACCTAAAATAGCTCTTGAAGGCAGCAAAGCCACCTACCTTTACTGCTGACTCTCAGCCCAAGGTATGGGTGTGTAGCAGCCCAAAAGTGCCTAACAGCCAAAACTGCAATCATCTTGCTTATACGCAACCCCACTACAAAAGGTCGCTCGAAGCGAAAAGACTCTACATATATCCAAGCCAGAATAATCAGCTTCAGGATTTTTTTCCACTTCAGCCATAGTCATCCATCAGCAGGTACAGTGCACATACTCATGCCGCCCTCAACTCGCCTGTGTATCCCATCAACTGCTGTATGATGTTAGTACAAGATGACCCGCATTTTCTCCAAATTCGCCCTTTTCGAATTTTTTGACTGGTCGGAATAGTCTGGAGACCCAGTTTTCTTCGCATATCAATACACCGACGTCATACAGCAGTCGATAGGATAGCGCCCTGTGCTAGGGATGTTAAAGATGCTCAGCCTAGCGCAGCGCGTCCTCGGAGGCAGGAACTCATAGTAATGTGCGTGCTGAATCCGCCAACCCACGTCCAGCCGAGTACCCAGGCAACTCACAGAGCAGGCATGCCACCATCAGTTTGAGTCCAGCAATGGTGTCTCCTTATATTGAACACGACGTACGGTGTGTTGGGTCTCAGCATTCAAGGCTGACGCCCCTGCCTGAGGGAACGACATCACCATGTGAAAGATTAACCACCCACATTCATATTATCATCATTTTTTATTATAAGGGCCTAAGACAAGGTTAATGCTATTGACCTAGACTATTGCTACGAGCATTCTAAACTGAAGGATAAAAATCTTACACTCGTAAGCGCTGGTGTGCTGCCCTCCTTATATAGACGTTGTGCTTCTTTCCAGAACTTTCTGTTGCTTGAACGTAAGCAACACTCCATGTCCTTCCCTAACTTTCCATTGCTGAGGATCTAGCTGAAGCTTCACATCAGTCCACAGACCGTGATAACTTATTATTGCAGGAGTAGTACACAGCACAAGAAGAGAAAGAATATAGAATATTCTAGGACTTCTTGTAACTATGCTTATCAAGAATAAAAAGAAAGTTTCTCCCAGACCCTTCCTGTGTCACGCATTAGCGATAAGTAATATAGAGTATAACCAATATGGGCAATCGATGTAAAGATGTGTAGCTAACTAACTAGTACTTTACAGCTGTAGATACTCTGACTTAAAACACAAAAGTAACACGCGCCCCGACTGACATCCAACGGCTATTTTTGATCCATCTTCCGCATGAGAGCTTGCACGGTACTCCGGCGGTAACCAAAGAATATTTTGAGACCTATTCGTGATCCATGCGTCCTGTTGTGAGAGCATATAACGCTGACCCATAAGGTCTCCAGTTGGTTCCTGGATCGCTACCTCGAATACGTTCTCCAAGCTGTTGTGGCCCTCGAGAGTCTGCTGGCACTGGCCGGTGGCCGTGTCCCAGAGCTTGACGGTGTTGTCGAGGGAGCCTGAGGCGAGCTGGCGCCCATCCGGCGAGAAGGCCACCGACAAGACGGAACTGCTGTGGCCCTCGAGCGTCTGCTGGCACTGGCCGGTGGCCGTGTCCCAGAGCTTGACGGTGTTGTCGCCGGAGCCTGAGGCGAGCTGGCGCCCATCCGGCGAGAAGGCCACCGACAAGACGGAACTGCTGTGGCCCTCGAGCGTCTGCTGGCACTGGCCGGTGGCCGTGTCCCAGAGCTTGACGGTGTTGTCGCCGGAGCCTGAGGCGAGCTGGCGCCCATCCGGCGAGAAGGCCACCGACCAGACGGAACTGCTGTGGCCCTCGAGCGTCTGCTGGCACTGGCCGGTGGCCGTGTCCCAGAGCTTGACGGTGTTGTCGTCGGAGCCTGAGGCGAGCTGGCGCCCATCCGGCGAGAAGGCCACCGACAAGACGGAACTGCTGTGGCCCTCGAGCGTCTGCTGGCACTGGCCGGTGGCCGTGTCCCAGAGCTTGACGGTGTTGTCGCCGGAGCCTGAGGCGAGCTGGCGCCCATCCGGCGAGAAGGCCACCGACAAGACGGAACTGCTGTGGCCCTCGAGCGTCTGCTGGCACTGGCCGGTGGCCGTGTCCCAGAGCTTGACGGTGTTGTCGCCGGAGCCTGAGGCGAGCTGGCGCCCATCCGGCGAGAAGGCCACCGAGCTGACGGAACTGCTGTGGCCCTTGAGCGTCTGCTGGCACTGGCCGGTGGCCGTGTCCCAGAGCTTGACGGTGTTGTCGTTGGAGCCTGAGGCGAGCTGGCGCCCATCCGGCGAGAAGGCCACCGACCTGACGGAACTGCTGTGGCCCTCGAGCGTCTGCTGGCACTGGCCGGTGGCCGTGTCCCAGAGCTTGACGGTGTTGTCGACGGAGCCTGAGGCGAGCTGGCGCCCATCCGGCGAGAAGGCCACCGACCAGACGGAACTGCTGTGGCCCTCGAGCGTCTGCTGGCACTGGCCGGTGGCCGTGTCCCAGAGCTTGACGGTCTTGTCGCCGGAGCCTGAGGCGAGCTGGCGCCCATCCGGCGAGAAGGCCACCGACCAGACGGAGCTGCTGTGGCCCTCGAGCGTCTGCTGGCATGCGTTCCAGTCTACGTCTCCCTTTGTAATCATGGTAATCCAGGCCGGTGGTTCTTCTCGGAAAGGTTCCCTTACTAAGATGTGGGTAGGGCTAAATAAAAGAGCAGCTATGTATAGTTGCAATGGAAAGCTTTCTATACATTGTTTATAAGAAAGGACAAATCGACAGGCATCTCGGACGAGTTCTATAAGTTCTGTTTCCATACTTGCCTGATGTACTGTTAGGCGTATCCTGAGATGTAGTTCAATTAGACTTACGACCAATGTTTGGAGTTTCCGCATTGCCACTACTGCTTGTGGCATGCCTTTCAGAAGACTCTGAGCCTCTAGCCAGTGGAGATAATGGCGTTTGAGGAAATTGTGAACGCTAGCGTTGTCCCGTAAATCAACGCGCGCCGGGCCGTCTGCGGGATTTGAGTGCTCAAGATGGTCGACCCAGTGGGCAGACGAGTACTTCAGAGGAGCCAGAGGGTCTGGGTGAGGTGGTGATGTGTCCTCTACAGAGCTTCCAGGTTTGCGCAGCTCGTAGATGTCGCGTCTAAGCGTCCTAGATAGTACGTCTAGAGACCTTGAGAAGATCGCGTGGTGCTGGTGTGCAATGCCAGAAGGTAGAATCTGGCCAAGTGCTGGGTATGCCTCGTTCATCAAGAAATCCTTGGCCGACTGGTGGACAAAGTAGATTGTGTCCTGGCGAATAGTGAGAAAAGAGCCACAGGATCTAATGACTTCTTTCAGGTCTTCAAGGTTGTTGTCAAAAAGGTTTGGTGACTCGACGACGCACAAAAGCTCTTGTAATGTGACAGGGCGATACACCACTGAGACAATAGCTAAGATCTCTTTGCATAAGTTTGCATCGATCGATCGAGAGATGTCCTTGATCATCCGCCCATATAGAGGCTCAAGGCCAGGCGGAAACATCTTAAGAATCTTAAGTGTATGTCTCTGCTGAACCTCACTGTGAGCAAGCCTTTCACAGACCAAGGCCACCCACAGGAAGGTGTCATGCGAGTTTCCGATCAGGTATCTCTGGACTTCATCGCGGGTTTCGTCGTGATACTTCTTCTGCACCGCTAGCTCATCCACCTTGTATCGAATATATACAAGAACAGCGCGAGAGACGGACTCTGCGTTCAGCTCGAGGTGGATGGTGACTTTATGCTGAGGTCTATCCAGTTTTCCCTCAATCTCTGGCCGGTTACGACTCGACACAAGCCATTTAGCGCGAGATGGGGTGGTAGTAATAAAGTTGAGAAGTGGCTCTAGACCAGTGAGGCACTCATCAAGTGCATCGATGACTAGGATCCCTCCCTCCAAGACACGATCGGCCAGCACTTTCGTAAGGATATCCTTGACAGCTACCCAGGCGTTGCGATCTTCAAAAAGACGCTTGCCCGCATGCTTGTACTCGTCTTGCACGTATATTGCGAGGGCAGGATGCTGTCGGACAAGCATGTAGAGAAGACCACAGAGCACGGCGGTTGCGTTATTGAGCTGCCCCTCGGTCGCCTGGCAGAAGAAGTAGGCTGGTTTAGGGTTTTTGCTAGGCCCCTTTTCCAGCTCATCGATAATGCCACAAAGCAGCATAGTCTTGCCTTTACCTGGATCACCCCTAATCCAGAGTAGGCGGCTCTGTGGATCATTGCGCCACTGCAAAAAGCCGCGATGGTCGATGACCCAGCGGTAAGAGTCATTGAGGAGGCCGCCCTTTGTTTCTTCGATACGCTTCTTGTCATGGTAGGGGTTCGTCTGGGAGAGATTTTTCAGGCATTCGCTCTTCTCTTGGTCCAGAATAGCATCTTTCATCCCTTGGAGTTTCTCGAGCAGAGACTTTGCGGCGTCTTCCAGGGATTGAAGGCTTTGAAGTGTCTCTTGGGAGTTGTATTGCTTCAAGCATCTCTGCACATTAGCTTCAACGGCCTTGATGTCGTCAAGCCTGCCGGCCCAATTGTCCAACTTGAACATGTCTCTGACGAAAGCGGCACCACGGCCCATATAGTAGAGACAAACGCTCTTCATCTGGTAGAGCAAGAGCTTCTGGTAAAGCTCAATGATATGTCTTTCAAGCTCAAGACGCAGCCTTTTAAAGTCCGGGCTCGCATCCTTCGGTTTGAAGAGGAGATCGACCAAGTTCCAGTACCACTCCATCTTCGACACAACGTAGGTGATGCCGTCGCGGTTGATCCCTGACTCAGTGACTGGATTCGCCAGTATCTGTATGGTGTTAGTGGATGCTTGTAAATCCGTGGAGCAACTGACCTCAAGAGCAAAAGAGACGCCAACCCAAGCGATAGCAGCTTCGGGAGCAGCCTGTACAGCCTTCCCGATTACTTCCTTCAGAGGGGAGATGACCCGAATCACGTCGCTGGCTTTCTGTTTGAATTCTGCCTCCTTGTTCGTCTTCTGCAGCCCGACCTGGACAAGAAGCTCCATCTGGTGCCATCTTTCCTGCAGCTCAGGTTTGATGTGGGGTTCAGCTGAAGCGGCAGGAGTATGACTATCACCGCGAAGTTCGGCCGATAGGAGGTTCTCATATGCTTCGACTAACTTGGTTTCGCTCCGCTTCAGGTTGTCATACGCCTGGTTCCAAAGCCGCTCTTTGAGGTTGTTTGCTGTTGAGATTGGTGTCTGAAGGGGCGAGGAAGACTGAGAAATTGGCGTTGGAGGGGGTGAAATATGAGGTGAGGCAGAGTTTGACTTGCGGAAGCTGGATTTGAACTTCTTAAGCCATTGAGGACTCATGTTGAGCCGTCTGTTTTGCCCTTTGTATGAGCAACGGTGAGAAAATCGTAGACGATTGTATGAACACTGAGCGAGTGGCTCAGAGGGCGGGGTCTTGGGCAGTATTGTCTCCCTCGTCAGGCGGGGTAATGCGGCTGGGGGTATTTTCCTGTGCATGAGAAGAATCCAATACGAGGCCGAAGATCTGTTGCGTCAGACTGAAAGCAACATCTTGCATATCGTAGTGGGTAGGCCAAGATGTGACGTGAGCAAGAGGGAGTGGCTACTTGTCTTGGCATGCACCTGCACCCGTGCCAATCACGCGCAGCTATTCTTCCGTGTTGTCATTTTTCGTCTTTCGTTTTCTAGCACTAACCGCCTCTATTAGTAACGTGTTAAAACGATAAGGTGATCTGTCTTAGCTTTATGAACAGGGGATTTATTTTTCTCTCTTGGAAGTAGAGATATTTCGTCTCTCAGCTGTTGTAGAAGCTGCTGATGTGGAAAAGTTGACTTGCCTTTCGGAAGGAATCGCCTGACGAACGGCGGGGCCAAAAGGTGCACTTAGAGTTAGCGTGTCAGTCTACGATTGGATGTTGCGGCTGGTACCATCTGCAAGGCGGTGGTCCGTGCTACTGACTACCTGGTGTCAGAACACCCCGACATGAGACAAATGCAAATAAGCCATATTCCGGTTAGGACACAATAGCCGATGCATAGCCAAGATGTTAGACAAACGATGTTGATTTAATGCAATACCACTGAGGTCCATTGATCAAAAGGTGATTGTTCTGCTTGATTGAGGGATTTCCTCCTATACCGGTCCGAGCGGGGTTCTGTCTTGTATTTTACCCATCATCACCGGTTCTTGCATATTATTCAATGCATTTCTAGCATCCCTTTATCCAGACACAGTCGTCAATCCAACACAAGATGCTTGACTCGGTTATGAAATGTGGACCTGGCAGATCCCCCATCGCTGCCCGAGCCTAACTAAAGTAACATAGTAGATGGCGTCGTGGCGTGCTCGGATATGATATCTTCTCGCTTAGAGCGATTTCTTGTAGTTGGGTGATGGTTTGTCAGTATGGCCAGCGGAATATGCATGTATGTGAGCAGAAAAGAGTGTCTTATTCGTACTAAAGAGAGGAAGGATCACCACAGGTTTGTGGGCCCAATGCTACCTTAATAAATCGACAGAGCTAGGACCATGTGAAAATGACAGTCTGACCTGTTTCAGTATGTTCAGACCATTGCGAAAGGCTTATGTTCATGACTCGCATATAAGCATGCATGGATTCTGTCATTGGGCTGCGTATAACCAAGATGAGCGCAGTTTTGGCTGTCAGGTTATTTTCGGGCCGATGCTGCTGGGACCCTGGCTGAGAGTAAGACATACAAGGCGCTTTGCTGCCTTCAAGAGCCGTTCAGGTCAAAAGCCAGTTCTGCCTTCCACTGTAGATGTACTGTTTTCCATGAAGAAGTACTTCAGCCGTTTGCCAATGTGCCCCGGAAGCGCCAAGACCGACTGGTCTGTGCTCAACTAAATTTTTAGACTGCAAAACGGACACCGATTTTGCAAACCTCTGTAGACGTGAACGAATCTCTGCAGGGTTTTGGGGAGCACTACCAACGTGAATATGTACTTAGCGACAAGCCTCGCTGGCCGGGAGTCTGCGCTCGGGAATGTCAACACACAGAATCCATGTCAGTGGAGAACTCCAACGCAGCGTATGATCGACCCACAGCCAGCGTCTCTATTGAGGAAAGGGTGCGCTGCACGGGACAAATCCGGCTAGAGTCATGGACCGTTCCACCAGCTGTCAATTTGTGGGCCAGTCATTCAACTCCTGTGGATAACATGCACTTGCTCCAGAGCTCCCAACCCGCGCTGTTGCCCTTGAAGAAGGTCGGCTTGTTGATTCATCAGGCATTGCTATCAACCCGGATACACTGCCGTTGTAACTAGGACAATTTGAATACCAAAGTGACAGCTAGTATCTCGCCAACCTTGACAGCCCCAAATCTGCAAATATTTCTTTTACATTGTAAATTGACGTCAACTCTGCTTCCCACGTCCGAACAGACTCTGCCAAAGCGTCCGACTCCTCAGTGCGCTCTAAATCGCACTGAATGAATAACATGTCGGGCACTTGGTACTCCTCATCATTAAAGTAAGCTGCACAATCCGATAACTCCAGGCTCTGCAAGGGAAACTCATCACGCAAAGCTCGCATAACAGTCACCCACGAAGACGTTCCCCCGCAACAACAGAGACCAACATGACGAAGACTGAGTTCCAATAGAGTGTTTTTGTGTAGTTGTAGCAGCTGAAGCATCTTGATGTTTGTGCATTTCACCCCAATCAGAGTCAAGGCTCGAAGGTGGGGGGCCTGAAACCATGTGTTGGGACTCGGGTGGTTGGGAAGTTGCGAAGATAGACCGGCCGTGATCGTCAATTCTGACAGTGAACTGAACATGTTGAGGAATTGCTGAAAGTCGGCATGCCAACGGCGTGGCTTTTGTTTGACTGGGTCATTACTGGCAAGCTCACGACTTTGGCGGATGTCGTTGTCCTCGGCCTTCGATCCTATTAGGATGCTCAGAGTCTTTACTGTAGCAAGATGCTGCTTAGCCGCGGCCTCCAGCCAAGTCGGCAGGACGAGCATCAGAGGAATGACACAATCAGTATCCTGCTCGTCGTCAGATCCAGGAGTGATGTAGAACTCCCTTACATCTACTCGACTCCAGCAGACAGCTGATATAAGTGCTCTGATACAACGCAATGCGTGTATTTTGCTCTTGGGTCTCTCAGACGAGACTTGTGGATCAGGAATGGCCGGCCATGCATCGTCTTGATTTGAGAACGCGCCAATGCGTCGGGCGAGTTTCACGGCTCCCCATGGCTTGTATGTGTTGCCCACTCCAACTGCCCTGCAGTTGGGAAACCGAGAGAGAGCTTTTGCCAGTTGTGCGGTACAGATCCTGTGGTTAAACTGATCTGTCATGTCTTTCCAGCTCTCTCTATAGAGCTTTCCTATGTTCTCCCAGCGTTGATGGCCAGCGTTCGATACGCGTCTCTTGTAAATATCGGGTTCGATGAGATGATCGACGCAGAGCTCGACCTGTTCGACGGCTTGCCTCAGTATAGGATGGCGGGATATATCCACGAGGTTCTGCATGCTTTGTTGCTCGAGCATGACAGCTCGGGTATGGAAATAATCGGCTTGGAAGAGGCGGAAGGTTTTGTCGGCTATTGCTCTGCAGGTTACTCGTAGATGGAGAAAATCCTCTGGCGAGAGATAGTCTGTTACCTCTTCCACGATCTCTATAGGTAACGAAACAAAACTGGCCATGGTTGAGGGTGTCCTGGTGTCGGACGGAAGAACGTGGAACTGTAGGGTGGGCTGAAAAGTGAGGAGCGTCGGCATCCACGGAGGGTGAAGCCCATTCTTTTGGGACTGAAGACCGACAGGTCTCGCAGTCTCTTTCATTTTTCCTTCTCGCCTTCAGCAGTCGCTTGCGATGCTGGGGTTGCTCAAATGTCGACTCCTGTGCTTTTCCACCCCAATGTGGCTGAGCGTCAGAAATGGAGTGAAGGCAGTGGGAGGGTGTGATCTCGTTTGCGTGATCGTTTGACCGAACTCTGGCCTGATTTGTGATTGATTTATCAGCATTATTCATAATGTTTCTCCGTTGTAGCATTATGGCCGTTGGTTGACCAAGCTTTGCCAATCACCTAATACGCAGATATCGCACCTGCGCCATGATCGCCAACAAAGTTTTGGATCCCGGGGATGAGGAAAGTGTGGGCCGGAGCCAGGATACCGCGGCTTTTGTCAACAGGGGTGCTATGCTGGGGGCCCCAGTGGCAGCACGCGATAGCGCGCGGTGCAAGGGGCACTCTCTGCTAAGAAATGTTAGCGCCAACGCTGGCGCTAGATAGACTTGACCAAATAAGAACGAGCCCGGGTGTGGCTGACTGGTAGGCCCCGCTGGGCGCCGGACACCTAGCTCGCCTACATCCCTGTGTAAACGCTCATCATTTTCTCCGAAGGGGCTTGGAGAACGAGAGCGATTCAGTGTCCCAGCAGCCCTCTGAGACGCTGCGGAGTTCGCCGCCGTTCATGAGGTCATGAAATACCCTGTAATGCTGTGTTTCTTCGGAAACGATTCTCAAGGATTCTCTTGACTGATCGCTCAGCTAGCCTTAAGCAGCCAGCGATCAGTATGCAATCACGTATACATCTGGTACAATTGAAATAGCGGAACGGCTCTTGGATTATGGGTAGAACATGGCTATCACCCAGATTGCCCTCCGCCCCATTTAGCTTCTCTCTCTCTGGCCACCGGATGAGCGCCAATGCCTTTCCGATCACTCCGAGTGAATCTGAAATATCTCTCAAGAGCTTTGCTGGCGCCTGCGCTGCTTTGACTTCCGTGTTTTGAGATAGTGACGACCCCACAGGCGAGCTGTCCGTGTTTCAACCGACCGAAGACGCGATTCGTACCCGGAGACCGCATCTCGGTCCGATAATCGATGATGGAGCCTGTTCAGACTTTCGCCTAGTCCGGTCATCATCGCGTGAAGCTGCTGGTCGTTTCTTCTCATCTCGAGGACAATGGCGCCGATGTCTGCAGATATGACACTGGTAGCTTGAGATGTCGCCTGGTTTTGGCCTGGCGCCGATCGCAGTCCAACAACAGACCGTGGAGGAGGCCCGCCGGAAGACCCCACGCTCGGCGCCACGGTCGCTGGCGGCGGTCTACCAGCTGGGCTCGCGGGGTTATATCTGCGGGATCTTTCTTCCAACCTCCCCGCCCAGTATCCTTTGATGAGGTTTTCGAGAGCAGAATAGGCCGACGGTTTTGTCAGATCAGCCACTACGATGGCATGGTAAAGAATTTCACAGAATGTTTCAACCGACGATTTGTCGAAATCATTAGGCGACTGCATGACTTGAATAAGACTTGTGTTGAATAGGCTCAGAGGATAGGTGGTGCTCGACAGATCATCAGATGTTGCTGGTGAGTGGACAGGAACGACGGAAGGAGCAATTTGCCTGCTTGCTGTAGGGGGTGCTGTGGCTTTTTCAAAAAGGGCGTTGTGGAGTGCTTCTGTCGGCTCATCCGCCTTGATCCGCTGCTAGCGAGCATGCCGTATGCTACAGTAAGATATTGATTGCCTTGATTTCTGCTCGTTCAGTGCTCTGATTACGCTGTCCCCACATGCTGACCTCCCTACCCGGATGCTGACCTCCCGTATCCACCTGCTGACTTCCTGTACCTGCGGACTTCATATGTTGAGTTCTCCGGCCTACCTAGGGACATTGGCACCGTAAGCAATGAACACCTCAAGATGCATGCGGTACAGGTTCTTGACAAATTCTTTTGGTTCCTGTAGATACACACATCATCGTCCCACGGCAACCTCTGTTAATAAAGCAGTGCCAATCTCATCTACAACAGTCGTTTGTCATACTGATTCAGGATCTTGCCCAGCTCAGCGTCAACTCCCTGCTCATTCAGCCAAATGTCACCGCGGTACGGCCGTTGGTGCTCAGGATCTGCCTTCGCTTCCAATACTTTCGAGATGCCTTCCGTGAAAGCTCGACACCATTGGGCTTCCTCGGGCGTATCCCAGTGCAGCTCGAACCTCGCTAGAGTAGACCCTAACGGCATGGCGCAGGCTTCCTGCAGCTCCAACATGCGACCGCCCCCGTGTATCACAAGCGCGTACATTCGTTCTCGTCCTGGCAATGTCTGAGCCGACTTCAATGCATCGTACAGTCCCAAGAGTAAAACATCGCAGTCTGGCACCACCCACTGGGAAATAGAAGTGAAGTACGATCTGGCCATCTCACGCCGAGAGGTCAACTCCTTCCAGTACGTGAGCGGTCTGTCCTGCAATTGGACAGGGCACATCTCCTCAAGGGCCCCAGGGTTCTTCGCAATGAACTCTGAAGCCGGTACCAGTCTCAGATCTAGGAGGGTTTTCTCGTTCCAGTCGGATAGATCGTGCACAATCGACGCGACCTCCGACCCAAGATACTGGCTGAGGACGAGGATTGTGTCGCTCGCACTCAGGAGGCTGACAATGTTGAAGGAGCATACGGGCTGCGGATGGTCTGTCTCGAAGAAGAAACGGAACGAGATGGAAACGTCGTTTGGGAGCGTCGCAGCTCTAGCAAAAGCGTTGTTAGCTACGCAGAGGCGCAGCTGCTCCTCGCTGATGTGGGCAAACCGCCAGGTAGCGCGGGCTGGTTCATCGATCAACCGCAATTTGATCTCGGTCACCACACCTGCCTCTGCCGCTGCCCCGCCACGCATAGCGTACAGCAAGTCTGGATGGCTGCAATCGTTGACCTCAACGACTGAACCATCCCAGAGAACCAGCCGCCCCCCAACAACGGACTGACATCCAAGTCCATATCGCCTGGCCAGGAGGAGATCCCAACCTGCCGTGGTGAAATGACCCCCTGCGCCAACCCCGAAGCAATCGCCGTGGGGCACCGCTTTGCGGTGTCGTGCCAGGGTCAAGGCGAGCGGGCCCAACAGGCAACCAGGTCCGACAAAAAGCATATCATCCATGACACGCTTCTCCGTCATCCGCCCCAGGTTAAGCATGACCCCGGCACAAGCGGCACCGTTGTGGTACCCGTGGCCGCCACTCTTGACAGAGATTGGAATCCGGCCATGGAGCTTGAGGTTGTTGAATAGTTTTAGGGTTTCACAAACGCCCCATTCGCTAAGGGGAGAAACGACGAGTGAGGGGATCTCAGCTGCTCGATCGTGCATGGCGGCCTCTGGTGGGCAGCGCCCATGGGTTTTTTGGGCATGGATGCCACGTTGATTGAGATGACAGAGAAGCGTGTCAAGATCCCCATCGTGAGGACTCAACGAGGGCCTGGCAATCGCTCCAGCGGATGTAGGGTCCTGCTGGGCTTGGTGATGGGCGGTAGACCGGTCAAGCTGCCGTGGCGCCATGATTGACGACAGAAACGAGACGGACAATCGAAGATTCTGGAATGGCAGCATTGCGTAACCCAATGGAATGTCTATCAGCAGGCTTGGTGGAAAGAGATGTGCGACACAGTTCAGCGGCTGTTCCTGATGGTGACTGCAGTTCCCGTCATTTTTTACCCTTCTTATGTAGCACTCCAACCGTGTTCGCCTCGCCTATTTTGGTTCGCGCTCGACCGACAGTAGCATGAAGCCCAGTTGACCTTGCAGCTTCTCAATGGCTATTTTGGTAACATCTTCACTGTTGCATACCACCACCACAAACGCAACGGAACATTGCCGCGGACTGACTCTCACGTTTCGTCATTATGATCAGATCATGAACTTGATTTATCAGCATCTCGGATATTCCACCTCCGTTAACGCCAGGAAATGACTCAAGTATCTTAAGGAGAGCTGAATTAGCGCCAACAAGAAATAATGGACAAGACCGGCACTCGCGCAATCGTCACCAACAGCCTTCAAACTTCTTCAGGGGGGCTGGGCTTGAGATGTGTGGGGCCAGATAAATCGGGGTACGCGGATGTAGGCCACAGACTTAGGGAACCTTGTCGAAATGGGTCAGAGACGCGCGGTCGTCTTTCGAAATGATTGATAGCTCTGAGCCTGGTATTTGGTGGAGTGCTCCTGTGTTATCGTAGCACTTTCTGCCAAAGCTGCTTGTGGGGCAGGTGGGGCAGCTGTCACACAGGAAGAGTCTTATGCTGTGCTTCAGACCCGACAGTCTGGTAAGGTTTCAATAGTCCCATCAGAGGGTGGTGGGGTTGCCATGCTCAGCCCTGTCGGACAAACGGTGGTCCTACATCATGTTTAGTCCGTGCGAGAGGGAAGGAAGGGGGTTGGCTAGCCCCTGTCATTGGATGCGCTTGAGGATGCGCTTGGATGCAACACCTTATTGGTTCAAGTAATCGCCGATCTAAGGTCAAAGTACTTATACACGAGAGTGGCCAGGGGAGATGTCACCGGCGGAACACTGCAAGTGCAAGACATAATTTTATGTGAGATGATGTAGCAGTACGGATAATGTAGCAAATCAATTAATCCAACTATTCTGCGGTAGCGACAGACAGAGCTCCTCAGCTATCAGGTAGGGACAGACGTAGACATGATTTTCGGGCAATGCGTTCTTGCCAGTGGTGTCCTCAAATGGTTGCCTCCTTTGGCTCCTCAAGCTCACCAAAATTGTCTACCCAAAAGCCTCTCTGGCGATGTCCTTCGCCTGCCTTCGCTATCTTGGTCATATCATCTTTGGTGAGTTGAAGACCCGGAACGTTGCGGAGAATGATCTTCATACGCTTTGGCTTGGATGTTGTTGTAATTGTTATGAGTCCCTGCTCAACTGACCATCGAAGTCCAACGTCGGAGATGGTCACCTCGTGCTTTTGTGCAAGGTCTTGCCAGACACTAACCACGGAATCGTCGGCCTCCCGAGTCAACGGAAGTAAGCAGCCATAGGCAGCAATGGCAATGTTGTGCTGCTTGTGAAACCGCAGGAGATGGTCATCCTGGATGTAGGGATGATATTCAATCTGGTTGATTGCAGGAGGGACTGTCGCGGTCTTCAAAATAGCTCGCAAGTGTGAAAGCTTGAAGTTCGAAACACCAATCGATCTGACGCGACCAGACAGCTTCAGTTCTTCCATGTGAGCCCAGGCACATTGGAGCTCTACATCTGATCGTGCGTTGAAAGGAGCATGGATCAGATACAAGTCGACAAACTCGAGACCGAGCCTGCGCAGAGACAACTCAAACGATGCCTTCGGATTGGTCATATCCCAAAGCTTGGTTGCCACATAGAGCTCTTCTCTAGGAACTCCAGAGGTTTTGATTGCTAAACCCATCTCGATCTCGTTCCCGTAGACTAAGAATATATTAGCTGGGCACGAATCAAATGCGAGCGCGACTATACCCTCGGCGCCGTCCAAATGTCGAAATCCTGCCTGGATAGCGTTCTTCGCGGCTTCGACGATCACATGGTCGATTGGCTCGCTGCTCGTCTTGAAGTTCGCGGTCCCCATTCCATAAGCGAGCTGAGCTTAGATGTCACTAAGAGCCTCTTAGATCAAGGACGATCACATACCATTGGGATGAAATTGCCATCGTTCAACTTTAGCGACGGGAGGGGAGGGCTCTGGTTTAACTCATCACGGGTTGCTTCGACGTCTCCAAGAGATCCCATTTTGGCCGTGGATAGCAGAGATTAAAGAAGAGTGTGGAACCGAGAGGAAGGATTTGATACCTGAATGTCGTGCGGGCGTGAGCCTGACAGCTTTCCTTGCTGCGTGGGTCAAGCATGATTATTTATACCCAGTGTCAAACTCAGTGCCCTGTCTCGGGCCTTAAGCTGCACACTATATCAGGGAGTAACTCTTGATACATCCCATGTGGGGATGCTGGTCGCCTGTCACCGAGGCGTCTGTAACTCTCTGGGGACACAGGACGCCGCGCGCGGAAGATGGGGCAAGCAGCTCCGCTATCGCCCTTCCCTTGCCCTTCCTACACTTGGAGGCCTCGGGAGATGTCTTCCTGTACAGTACATCAGCTGAGAAGCACTTGATATGATACCTTTGATTGCAGGGGCCGTTCTCAGACAGACTGGGTGATGATCTTCCTGACTTCCAATGCTGGGGTCCCTGGAAAGTCACAGTGGCCTGGCGGACGGAAACAACTTTCCGTATATATAAGCCCCTCTTCTTCAGTCAGAGCAGAATAAAAGTGCCGCGCCTTGCAATCGCCAAAGCAATGGATCCACAGAATCAACCAACTGATAGCCGCCGCTTGCGACGCAGTCGCAAGAGGACCGCCCTGACCGCAAGTAACGACGATCCCAACCAGCCCATGCAAGCGCCAAAGCCTCTCGGCCACAGAAGACTTATTTTTAGCTTGGAGGGGACTGAAGCCCTTGAGCAAGGAGACTCCAGTACCGCAGGTGCTTCTCGCACGATCCCAGTTGCTGTACAGGCCAGTACACCAGCTATCCATTACACCCTTCTTGACGATTTTGATGTAAGTCTTTCGTAGTCAAAACTTTGGTAAAGCTGACTTTTGGTAGCAAAAGTGGAAAGTCTTCCATGATGCATTCGAAGCATGCTTCGGAGATACGCCGTTTTACGAAGCCTTCAGTTCTACCATTCAGATGCATGGTACACAATACAGAAGAGTGGTCCAGGCACAAAGCAAGCTGATGGAGGATTTGAGTTCCACACAGGCGGCGCTACACAAGGCATTGGCTGAACGGGACGAGGTACTGCTTCGGATGAATAGCTTCCGGCGTGCTGTGCCACTCGACATCGTGTCTGTTGAGGAAGGGCCGGCAACCATGAACAGATAGAACCAAAATAGATACTGCGCCGAGATTGGAACCGCTGGAAATAACAGTGTGAGTGGCGCATTACAACAGGAAGTAAACCCTGTTGGCCTTATCGGAAGGTGAACTTCGGAAGTTCCATGAGTTATTGGAAGCTCGCAAGCAGAGGCAATCAAAGGTTCATAGACAGTCTCTACTTAAATACGAAAGAATCCCTTCAAGTAACACACTGGTATCAACCCAGTCAAACCAACCACTATCTTTACATCAATCAAATCAACCTCTTTCACAAGCACAAAACGTCAACATGAAGCAGACCAAGACCAGCAGAAAGCGCTCAAACGCTGTCGTTGAGCAAACCGAAATAGCCCCTCGGCCATTGCCTCAACTCAGCGTGCAGACGGCACCTGTGCGGGAGGTTATCGTAAGTACACAGATATCATTAAAGTTCTTGGCTGACAGCACTAGCCCACCATACCCGGACATGTTGTTCATCAGCGAAGCTTCTCCGACCAGCTGGATTATCAGTTGTGGAACATGGGCCAGATCATCAACATCTGTCGCGCTGACCGGAACACACGATTCCAAGATCTGAGTCGAGAACGAGAAGCCCGCTCCGGCCTGGAGCAGACCATGTCTCGGTTGCAAGAGGAGCTTTCGTCGACAACCTCGAAGCATTTGGGTCTTCATGACCAGTACTGCCTGCTTGGCAAGAAATACGACGAACTTCAGTCGTCGTCTAATCTTGTTAACGCCGAACTTCACCGGGAGCTTTCGGCAGCGAAAGATCTCTTGGAGAGGCAGAGAGAACGCATTCATGCATGCGAGATGGATCTACGTCAGTTCCAACGCAAGGTCGATGACCAGGCTCAGTTGGTGAAGACACAAGAGGATATTATCAAGGATCTCTATGCTCGCGACCAAGGCCGTACTCCACCTTTCCGAGACCTTGTCACTTTACCCAAGGCCGACTTTTTCAGCGTTTCGCCCAAGATGGAGGAAGAACATGGTCAGAGTAGAGAGGGGAATGGGGATCCTCAGCATGTCGCTAAGCGACAAAGATCACAGTGATCTGGTCTATTCAGAAAGTTTTGTACACACGTTGTTGTTAGTCTAAATGTCACGTGCGCACTAGTTCATGCAGCTTGAACGTCGATGCAACGCTAGTGAATGAGATGCTGCCCAGCCTCTAGGATTGCGACTCGTGCCACAAAGCATAGGTCGCTAGGCGTATATCCCGCCACCCGCCTTTTCTCAAAAGTTGAAGTCCCCCTAAACGTTTTTGTCGCATGGTACATCTCGAGCAGTTCTGTGAAGGGTTGACAAGAGCATGTGTAGACGGGGATACAATTCAGATTAGGGCCGAAAGGTTCATGATTTCGAATGACGTCTCCAGCTCCCAGCTTGCCATAATGTAACAGTGACTGACTTCACACACGGACCAAGGAGGGGCGGCGCGGGGAAGTTCCCCCAGTGGGCCGTCTTTGTTTCGGAGATTGGCCAATCCTCTGCTCTTCCGACGCCATCACTCACAAGGTGGCGTTGGCTGAGGCATTTAAACCGCTACATGCTAACCTCATTAATACATCTATGTCCGGCGATTGCAAGGCTTAGATGAGAAAATGGTCAGTTGTGTTGGTGCTCAACTAACATCCCTGCTTGAGACATTTCCTATATGCAAGACGAAAGCTAAAATCCCCCTTCGGATTAAACCTGGTCAATACAACTATGTCCGAAGATTGCAAGGCTCATCTGGGAGAATGGTCAGCTGTGTTGGTGCTCAGCTTGCATCCTTGCTTTGGGGCACCTACACCATGCAAGGTGGAAGCTTAAGCTCCCTTCGAAGATCAATCAAATCGAGCGGCTCGTCCCGAAAGTCTGGTAACTCGCCCCACCGGGCGCAGAGACACACGGCTGGAAGGTGACAGCAGGTGAGCAATGCGCCCAGTTGATAGCTTTCGCGAAAGCTACTATTTGCGCAAGCCGACCTGCTCGGCTTCTCATCTAACCGACGACTGTCTGGACCAGCGCAACCTCGGGCTTCGGCCTTAGCATCATCCCGTTGGCTTTCTGCGGACATCGAAATGTGACGCTTGCCCGATAGAAAATAGCGGCCAATCAGACGTGGATGTCAGTTCAAAAAAGAAATCCCGAAGGCCGTCGGCGGGCGTTTACTTGACCAACTGCTGGTTAGTGACATAACGTAGCGTTTAGCTCCTAGCCGCCGTTTTCGAAGCTTTCGACATCTTCCCAGATCTATTATCGCGCGATTGCGCCTGATTCACCCAAGCACCAGCTTACTCAGTGCAAGTCAAACATGTCGCTACCCTCGGAATTGACCGCTGCTGTCCAATGTCTCGGTCGACATTTGGATACAGTTCGACAGCGCGCTTGTGATAGAGAACATCTAGTGCGAGCCACGTTAGATTCTGAGAGAACTGCGCTTGAGCACAAAATTGCAGATAACCAGAATCGAAAAAAGGAGGTGGAAGCATTACTTGAGGTTTGGGAACATGAAAATGCCGATGCTTTCCAAAGGCTCGCGCGTCTCGAAGCAAGCTACCATGATTCACTTCAGAGGTCGCGATCGCTGGATGCTGTCCCAGATTACCAACATCTAGTGAGTGCTGCTTCTATAATTTCGCTGGCTTCAGCTAATACTGGAGATGCAGGTCGGTTTCATATTTGGTAGCGCTTCAGTTCCAGCTAGAACCCCCAGTTCTCTACCATATATGCATACCCAGGACGCCATGATGATGAGCGAGATCCAAAACAATCCCGAAGACAGTGAGCCAGCCAACACTGTCACAACCATACAGCAAAATATCGAACTCTCAGAATCCGCAGTTGCTTCTCTTCGGCGTCAAATGGCGGAGAGAATAGCCAGTCATCAGTTCGACCAAGGCCACACGAACGATATCGGCCATTGCTTGCCCAAAACACAAAACTCAATCGATTTTGAAGAGCTCTACGAAGGCGGAAAAGCCAAGTACAAACATAGAATTCTCTATTTCAAAGGCCAGTGGTATATACTCAAATGTGATGAGCATGGGATTCACTTTCCATACCGGTCTGCCTCTGCAGCAGGCTCTCATCTTCGAAGCCACTGGCACAGAGGTTCGGCCTCGAATTACGCAGCCGTTATCAAAGCCTTCGGCGTTAGAGTGGAGAATTGCAATGGTGAGAGGGCCGACCGAAACAACGAGGAATTCTTGTCTGCCTTGGCCAGTGGATATTGCGTATACAAGGGCACGCGAGAGAGTCAGAAGAGGCAGAGTACTGGTATGATCCCTTTTGAGAGCACTTACATCAGCTGACCCGGTCATAGAAAATGATTTGATTGCCGAAGAAATCATTGTTGCATGTGACTCTCACTCAACCCGGGATCATGCGAACCATTTGAACCAGCTGCCTGGTCCTTCGACGAGCGAGTGCGAGAATTCCCGGCCGCCCGCATGTGGCCAAGTTCTGACCGTTCCAGGTCATGACAGGATGATGGACCTCCGAGAAGACCTGAGGGACAGTCAAGAACAGGGAGGATTGCAGGAGCCGACGAATTGTAGTCAGTGGTGGCATGTTGTGAATGACAATAGCTGAAGCGGGAACGGTCAAGAGTACTAGTGTTTGAAGCGAGCTATAAACGAGAGACTATAACAATAAGACCCGAAAAATTCTATAGAGCCGGCTCTATTTTATAAGAAGCCTTTCCATGAGCTCCCTGTTCTCCGCTCTGTCCTCCCGTCTCTCCTTTCTATCTTCGATCGACATCTTCACTAGCTCTTGTATGGCGACGACTATTTGCTGCTGCATATTGTAAGCATCACCACTTCGAAGTAGACGACTTGGGGATTGGATGGCACGTGGATACGCAAGCTCCAAATAATTCCGGTCATACGACGGATACGTCAACTGTCCATACGTCGGCGCCCAGCTTGGCCTCACTCCTCTTTTGACGAGGAAGTCGTCGATCTTTTTATCAGCGAGCTTGTGGCCAATCCAGGCTCGAAGTGCTGTTCGGGACAGGATGTGGGCTTTCTGCGGGTTCGGGTCGTCTTGTCTATCGACCCAAACGTAGCAGATGCCGCTGGTTCCTAGCCTGTAGAAAGCAACGCCACGTATGCCAACGAAAAGGTTAGGTCTGACGTCTTTGTATACTTCTTCCATGCCGTTAATGATGTTCTTCTGCTCTTCTGGAAGTTCGTGATAAAGACGGGTTGCCTCGTACCCGAGCTCGCTGCCCGGGACCAGTTTGACGGGATTGGCCTCGGGGACCTCGACAACGAATCGCCACCCTACAGGTGATTTCTGCCCCGTAACTTTACATTTGCGTTCGAGAACACAGCAGCCCAGGATTCTGTCCCCTAACGGTGTTCTGCCTACCTGCTGCAGTTGCGTCTCTCTTGGGGGTGGTATTTCCTGTTTCATGTTGTCCTGGTCCATGCCGTCCTGGTCCATGTAGTCTTGATCCATGTTGTCCTGGTCCATGCCGTCCTGGCCTGCATTGTAGTCAGAGTCTTCGTTGGGTCTGTTGGGAGAGACGTGCTCTTCGTCTACATCCATGGATTGTCCCATGCCTGCATCATGCCCGGTATTCGATGCAGAACCACCAGGAGCATCTTCCATGTTGACGTCTTGATTCACGCGGCTGCTATTTCTGTTGCCCTGCTTGCCTTCACGTTTGCTGGCGTCGTTCTTGGGCTCATTGGGGTTGTATGTAGTCAGCGCAACCAGCCTCTGATCGGCAACTTTGCCGAAAGCATCTGCCCATGCCTTGGGCCATTGGTTGTATTCATTCAAGCATTGTCGACGGAAGGTAGTTTTAACGCCTTCTGCCTTCACTTTGGCGTCTTCCGGTTTCATTTTGGTTTGGAGAGAGTTCAAATCGTCTCTCATGAGGGTCGCGATACCCTCGCTCATCTGGTAAAGTTCCCCCCTCCGTCCTTTGTTTTCATTGGCCTTCTTGATCTTTCCGTTCATTTTCTTGATATCGATTTTGGAGTTGGTCCCGTTGAAAAGGTACGCCATAATACCTTTCGCGTATTTGCTGTGAATTGCCTCAATTTCTTGGTCTTTTTCCGGTATCACGCCGTCGTCGTCGTCGAAATCTTCATCAGAACTCGGGTCATCATCCCCGTTTCTGCCGAAGGCGCTGTCATCAAACTCTTCGTTGACCTCGACGGTGGCAGTTGGAATCTTGCTCTGTTGGCTAGTTCCCCTCAGCTGGCGGTCATATTCTGCTTTCTTTCGTGGGTCTGTAAGCGTAGACTTCGCGTCGTTTACTTCTGCAGATGCATTGTCAGAATGTGCCTCACCGCTGTACGTTGATTGTACTTACTTTGCATACAGAGTTTCGCCATTTTGTCTTCGTTTTTGTCCGTATGCACAAGCTTCGCCATCTTTTTTAAGGCAGTCTTGATCTGATCGTCGCTGGCGGTGCTGGGAATCTCGAGAATGTCGTAGTAAGTGGCGTTGTTGTTTATTAGCGGCAGCATCCTCGTGACGGCAGCTCGTCGGTTTCGGTCGTTGAGCTGGGGCGCGCTGGCTCTAGAAGTCTCTTCCTCTGTGAGGCGATTCACGGCAGCATTGAAGATGACGTCGAAGAGGTCCTCTTTTTTGTTCATAATCAACATGTCAATATTCGTGGCGCGGTCATCCAGCTCGGATACGGCCTCGGATTTCTTGACTTTCGTAGCCAATTCACGCACAAAGTTAAGCTTATAGTTGTTTGCCATTACATCCTTCTTGGCTCTATGGTCCTCGCCTTTCATATCGGCAAGGCGCTTCTTCAGGAAGTTGACGAAATTCGCAGCCTCTGCATCCAGAACTTTCCTGATGGATGGATCTGTGAACTCAACCGTGATGGCCGGCCGACTGGGCTTGACTTGGGGCTCAGGCTCATCTGGTTCTTCCTCGGGAGGCAGGTACTGGTCTCTGGAAGTCGCCGTCGGCGGAGCAGCGGGGACCTCTACATGGCTTGAGGTAACGATTTGGGCCTTTGGCTGCGTTGAAGACGCTTCTATGTTGTAAAGGGCGTGGTCGGTGGACACAGCAATCGTTTGATTGGCTGGTTCCGGGAGTGCCAGAGGCTTTTTAGCCCGAGGGGTGGAATTGCCCGACTCATCCTCCGATTCTACGGAGGGGGCAGGTGGAAGCGCCAAAGGTTTAGACTGTTCAATAGACATTTTGTGTTTGTATGATGAAGAAGAGGTGAGTCTATGAGCTTCTTTGGCCGTTATATAGCGCTTTTGAGTTATTATTAGAAGAAACCCCGAAATGGCCGTCATGTCACAACTGGCCGGGCCGTTTCTGGACCAACACGCCAATGTCAGTGATTGGCTGAGACCCTCGTCTGCCCCTTCATGGCCATTGGCAAAGGAGACAGCTTGCCAAATGCCTCCGATGCCGACTTCATGGAGGACAACAGACTCGATGCTCCTTTGCCTTTGGTTCGAGTTGCGTGTGGGCAGCGCCAATAAGCATGCGCTGAAGCTAACCCCAACTCGGTGGTCAGAGCGGGTCGTGATCCGTGGTCCAACAAACCCTGGTCAGGTCCCCACAGGTTCGCGCCCGGCGCATCCATGTTAACGCGAGCGCAAGGGTGAGGGTGTCCCCAGCTGCTCGTCGACCAGGGCGCATGCAGCGAACATTCAGAGCCAACACCCTCAGGGACAGTGCGCCGTGCAGGGGTAGACTGGGTATTTAGTACCTACCTCTGCCCGTGCACGGGAGGGAAACAGAGGGCAGCGGTCGCGCTGTTCAGACGAACCGAACCGGTACGATGGATATTGCGTCCAAGCTCCGCGATCTGGAGATGAAGCTCCAGCATGTCACCAGGATTGTCTCCACGCTCCAGCTGTCCACTCCGCACGCAGGAAGGAGAACCCGACGCAACAATCCCCGCCAGACCACCAAGCCAACGTCGGCTCTCGATGAGCTGAAAGACCTTCTCACCGGACTTTATGCTGAACTACAGAAAATACAGAAAGAGATTTCGCGAACATCCGAGCAGCCTAGCCAAGAGCCTTTACCTGCTGATGCCGCGTCGCCGAGCTCAGCGCTCTCTTCCCCGCCGCCATCTGTCGGGGCGGACGAACACTCGGACCCACCCGTGGACCTTCCGGCGCCCTCGCCGCGAGTGGTCGATGTGCCCACCCACCAGGAGACCGTCCCCAGTCCACCTCCGGACGCCGGTGGACCCCGCACAGACCTGGAGCCACCCTCGGCGGTTGGCCTGGACTCCGCGGCACCATCGCCACTTTCCGATCTGGGCTCCGACGTGGAGTGGGCTTTGCAGCATGCAGAGTCGCTCCTCGAAGCGCAGGGCGAGTCGCCGACCGACCCGGCCCCGCCTGAGCCTGCACCGATTACGACCAGGCCCAAGTTCAGCTTGACGACTGAGGAAATGGGTGTCAATTTGGTGCCGAACATCGCCAAGATGGTCAGCAAGGAAGACTTCACGGGCAAGGTCCGGATCGCAAATCTGCCCGAGGTTGACTGGGCCACTTTGGAGTCCAGCATCGGGCGGCCTAAGGATCGCGAGCATCTGGGAAACGTGTACACCAAAGGTTCCAATGGGTCCGGTTACGCGTTTCTGAAGCTCTCGCCGTCGACCAAATTTGTCCTCCCGGACTTCTCTCAGATGCCAGAGAAGCCGCCGGAGGACGAGATCACAGCTTTTCTCGACGACATCGCCAACGACCCCCCCAAGGGGTCCATACCGTATTATGCCGGGCCGCCGCTGACGTCCAGCATCGAATCGTTCCTCCACCCAGGCGACGCTCTTGCGTCCATGGAAGCCATTGCCGGCGGGAACTCGCCCTACGTGTACATCGGCGCCAAGTATTCCGGCACCGGCTGGCACGATGATGACGCTCTTCTCTGGTCATGCAACTATGTCAGCTTCGGCTGGAAGCTGTGGCTCGTCGTCGCAGAACACCACAGGGCGAAGTTCGAAGCCTTCGTCCGCCGACACTGGAAGGCGAACCGATGCGCGCAATTCGTACGCCATCTGTCACTCTTCATCGGTCCGTCAAGGCTTCGCAAGGAAGGTATTGACTTCGTCGTACACTGCGCCGGGCCCGGCGACATGGTCATCATCCGCCCCGGGCAATATCATGCCGTCGTCAACTTCTCTTCGTGCTTTGCCACGGCGATCAATTTCTCGCTGCCCGGAGACCGCGTCATGCCGCCAGACCTCGCCGTTTGTAAGCAATGTGGGCTATACCCTCTGCAACGCCCGGACTTCCGCGTTGTCTCGCCGCCTCCCTTGGACCCCGTGCCAGGCGTGGAGACAGAGCATGTCAGCATCGCAGAGAGGATAAAACTCGCGAGACGACCGGCGGCGCGGCCACAGGATTTGCAGCCAGCTAAGAAACCGAAAACTTCCCGGCCTCATCCAGAGCTGGACGAGATCATCAGGCAGGTCCTGAAGATCGACAAACTCTGCCACATTCCTCGTATCGACCACAGAAACCCACCGAGCCCCGAAGTCTTGAAACTCGCCATGGCCATCGGCAGCCGCCCGGCGATTCAGCAATTCTGCGACCTTGTCCGCAGTAGACGGGATCCCAAGAACGACCGCACCAGACTATATTTCGAAGGCGATCTGCAAGTCCGCATCACACAACGTCTCACTGCACTCGGCAGGTCCCAGCGGAGATCGAATCTCGAGAGGCTCATGGTCCGTCTCGACCAGTACTATCTTGCCTGCGACATCGAGCAGTCCAAGCAAGGGCGCCTCAGGGCGGATAGTTCGTTTCTCGACGCTATTGCCAAAAAGTCGCATTGCCCCAGGGATGTCCTGTCGAAACACGTAAACCAAGGCAACAAGTGGATGCGACTTTGCCGTGAACGCAAGGAGCTTCTGTGTTTTATTTTCCTGGACAGCAGGAATCCGTTCGGCGTATTCTTGGACGCGTGGATGTCACTACAAGAAAATGACGTGGATGTTCTGCATCGACTTCTGAGCAATGACTACATCGCATCATTATGCACAGCGGCGGCAGCGTTGATGCAGTCAATAGACGGCGTCTCTCATGACGTCGAGTTTGTCTGGGAAATGCGCAGCAAGCCTTTGTGCAGCATACCGGAAGAGGACATGCTGTTACTCCTTCGTCCCATTCCACAAGTTGCAGAGAACGTCTTTGAACCGGGCAGATATCCCACGTGGCCGCGTCCTGCAGGATGGCCTGAGCATGCACCGTGGCCTGCTGATCCCACTTCTATTCTCGATCTCGACAGCAAGTTATGTGAGTTTTGCGAGGAAGCCGAATGCAAGTGTCTGGAGGAGCTATCCTCCCGCAACGGCTCACGACCTATGCCGCGCATAAAAGACTATGGGGCACTGGGGCGAGGTCTGCAGGCTACGGCAAACCAGTATGGGCAAGTGGCGTATCGGTCAGGCGATGTCATTGGAATTCTTGCTGGAGAGATTGCTCCTGTGGACACTTTTGATGACAGCCATACGCTGGAGTTTGTGAGGCCGGATCTTCCTGATGAGCCGGTCGTCTGTCAAATCCGCTGCGTCGAGGTCAGCAACATTTTTAGGCTGCTTAACCATTCCTGCCGGCCTTCTGCAAAATTTGAGCAGTTACGAGCAAGCGGCCGCTATGTAACAGCAGTTAGGGCCGCCCGAGATATTACCGATGGCGAGCAGATCACGGTCTCTTACGGAAGTAAATGGACGGCAAGCCCGTGTCTTTGCGATGCTTGTCAGGGAGCAGGGGACACAGTTTAAATGTGCACGGGCCACAAGGTCCTAAAGGACCTTGTGGCCCGTGCGTAAAGATGCGTGGCATAGTTGGAAAAAAGACGAAAAATGAATTAGATCCAGCACAACAACCTCGCCACTAGAACATTTGTGTGCGGTTAAAATTCAAGTAAGATGAAAACTGATCATAGTAAGTATTCCTAATTGCCAATACACCACCAATACACTATCTCCGCCGATAACTCCTGTCTGGTGGGACGTATCGTTTGAGTCTCCACGCCAACAACTCATCGCGAAGGAACAGGTTGTATGTCGCCGTACGGAGTCGCTTGGATCCTGGCTCTGATTCTTTTCGAATCATCAGCCATCTGGAGGGCAGACCATCTTTTTTTGAAGGGGTTGCCGGGAACCGACTCGAAGCATCCGATGTGATAGACTCGGCTTGTGATTCTTAGTCAGCATTCTCCACCCATAGACACCAAACGACTTACACAATCCATTTTGTGGAGGTAATGTGGAAAGGCTGGGACCATTCCATATCGTATCCCATCTCGTCAGGGATATGGGGTTCCATAAGTTGACGAAGAAGCTCTGTGAAGAAGCCCTCCTTTCCGAGCGCGACACAGTTTTTCTCTATCAACCCGTTGTAAACTAGTTTTTCTCCGCAAAAAGAATAGAAGACAATATAGTGAGCTATCTCAGGACAAGGGGGGTTCAAGGGGGTTGATAGTAGCTGGTACCATGCATTCGCCCCCAAAAAAGGTGCGAGAATATCATTCCACCGATGCATCTGCGACGTGATGTGGCTAGTTTCGCTAATGACGGGCCTGTAGTCAGGCAAAAGAGTTGAGCTGAAGGAAGGCCAATCCTCTGCTGCGAGCGGACCGTAACTGAACGTTCATTAATCACTGCTCGACTGAAAGGCGCTAAGCACTAACTTTGGGATATCGCCAATCGGCGGGAATCCAATAGGATATCTCGCACGCGCTCGGATTGCCGGCTGACTGAGAGAGTTCATGTCTCGGTTTCGAGAGATCATCTGAGGGGCAGATGGCGAGCTTCTGCCATCCTCATTGCGGTGCTCCTCACAGTTCGGGGATTGAGAAAACCCCGGCTGAGAAGCGTTATGTTCTCCCGGCTCATCTTGCGACTCATGGCGAAGCCTAGATGCTAAGCAAATCCTTCTGGTGTTGGGCGTCGGGCCTTGCGAGTCTTGTCTTGAGCCAAGGTAAGCAATTGTCCCACGAAGGGGTAATCAAACTTGCCCTGGAGACATTGTAGCGTAACGTAATGTTGTGGTCAAAGATCGAGCTGTCCTGGTGTCTGGGATACAGATGAACACTCCGTGACTGTGGCCTACTATGGTTGTTCATGGGACAAGAGGGGTCTTAAATACCCATTCACGGGAATTACAGTACCCTTTTAAGCCAGGCAGCCTTCTCACCCATGTAAAAATACCACATGAGCTAACATGGGTCCGTGGAGGCTTGGTTTGAGCCCCTATCTCGAGGATGGTATCTCGGACTAGGAGTTACATAGCCTTTCAAAAGGGGAAGCGATGTTCTCATTTCATTGTAAATACCCCCTAGAAGAACACGTCTCCAGCGTCCCATGTTTCTTAGTCATTTCACGCAACGTCCTCTCCGAGATGCTCCTGCCAGTATCGCCAGTAGTTCCCCTTTAAATCCAAGAGCACATCATGACTTCCACTCTCAACGTGGACTCCTTTCTCGCCGATAACGATGATTTCGTATGCTTTGATAGATGACAACCGGTGTCTGAGAGAATTAGCCTCTGGCTATCTCGGTAGAAAGGTCACTCACGCTACGGTTATCACAGTCCTGTCTTTGAATTCCCTCGACAAGCTTCTCTTGATAGAGCCTTCTGTTGTCGCATCCAGAGCACTCGTCCCTTCGTCTATGAGGAGGATATCTGGTTCCATGAGAAACAGTCGGGCGAGTGCAATTCGTTGGCGCTCTCCATTGGAGAATTCACTAGGGAGTTTAGAAACTGACGATACAAATGGGCAGATGAATCAAGGGCAACTTACTTTCCTGCATCACCACATGGAGAGTCGTAGCCTTTCTCACGCTTCATTATGACGTCGTGAATGCAAGCTTTCTTGCAAGCATTTTGTACTTCTTCTTCGGAAGCATCTCGCTTACCGTATCGTACATTGTCAATGACTGTCGTGTTGAAGATGTGATAATTTTGCTCGACGATGCCGATATTTCGCATTAGACTGCCCAGATAATCAGCATGTTTCTTCGGCTACAAAGATTGAAGGACGCACGAGCTATGTTTCACTTGAGTAATATCTTGACCGTCTATCAATATCTTGCCAGTATCGGGCTCGATTTGACCCGTAAGAAGAGCAAGTATTGTTGATTTACCAACACCTGACGGCCCGACAATAGCGATCTTGGATCCTGCAGGCACAACGAGATTGAAGTCTTCGAGTACCACCTTTTTGCCAAAAGTGACACCGACATTGCAAAACTCCACGAGGCCACTTTGGAAGTGGAGATGCGGCTTTTCTTCCTTTGGATGAGAGGCCATGTCCATAAGGCTTGCAGCTTCAGTCGCATCCTGGAACTTCTTAACAATGTCTTTGGCGTCTTTCAAAACATTGGAAAGGGGACTGATAAGTTGACTCCAGTACTGCTGATGGGCAAAGAAATCTTCGCTTCCTAGCCGACGACATTGAACCAGACCCAGGACAATGATTGCCCCGGTCCAGTATCCAACGTTCAGAGCCGTGTGGTTCAATGCATTCGAAATGAAATACGAGACGTAGAACTTCCAGCTTATCTTGTGGAATTCTTCCAGCCTCTCGTCGTTCTCATGGATATGGTATCCCGTCTGGCCGAAGAGGGCAGAGGTAGTCCACCCTTGGATAGCGTCCTCGCATTGCTGCCGCTGACGCTGGTGAAGAACTACAACGTCTGCTCTAGCTCTGAACATTTTGGTCGTTGAACGTCGGAAGATGATGACAGAGACTGACAAGAAAAAAGCAGCAATTATCAGCATAGAACTTCCAAACCTCAGGGCCGTCACCGGGAGAGCAATGAAGATCGCAAAGCAGCCATCTAAAGCGTTCCTCAAAATGGCGTCAAAGGATTGATCGACGCCTTGTGCATTGTCAATTGCAGTAGTGATGGCTGCCCGACTTTGCTTTCTATGATACGAGAAGCCGGCGTTCATGATTGCAGCGAAGATCTTCTGCTTAAGCTTCTGCTGGCGATGAAAGATCACCTTGAGCCAGTTCCACTCGTCCAGTGATGGTAGACCAGTGCCGGGCGATTGCAGAAGCCTGAGAAGAGACCACTGAATGATGTATGGGAGGATTTCGGAGTAAGGTTTGTCGTAATTGAGCTCTCTCATAAGGCGACTGATACTCAAGGGGAGCCAGAGGCAAAGAGCGTTTTGGCACAGCCTGAGAACGATAGATATAATAAATCTTCTCCGCATGCCATCATCGTTGTCTATCCAGATAAACTGCTTGAAGACCTTGAAGTGACTTATGCACATCTGCAGAATAGCGTCGGCTTGTGGAGGACGCTTTCGAAGGTGTGTTTTGGTTCCTTTCTCCTCGGCGAAGCAGTAGAGAAGGTAGAGATACGACGCAAACTTTGAAACTGCCAGTGTGATTCGGATCACTCTCCACGAGTCGGGTTCGATGCCCGGACTAAGCTGAATAGCAATTTCCAGCATTTCGTGGTTAACGCCAAGGGCCCAACTCACAGCGAAGAAATTCCAGATAAGCCCAGAGTCTTCCGATAGTCCGTCCAGTTGGAAGAGTGTTGCGATCGAGAAACACGTGGCGTGATAGGCAGGAAATATGGGGGCAAGTGGTTGTGCCCAGAGCAGTATCATGTTGCCCCATGTCAAGACAACTTGTGCATAGAATACCCGGGAGAAGCACGGCGTTGGGCGTATGCGATGCTCTGTACTCCAGGGTGCCATGAAGGAGAGCACGGCAGCTAGAATTGAGCAAGCTAATCGAACACGGTCAAAAATATCGTCCGGCGTCATTGTGATTGAGTGGGATAGAGAGAGATTTGGTGCCCTGGGACGTATGATGGGGGTATTTCGCATATAAAAGGTGCTGCGCTAATGGCATTGAGCTGCAGCATGGGACGCCATGGTTCGCCTGTAAGGCAAATGTTTCTGAAACTCCCCCGAGCAATTTTCCATATACTTCTCCGTTTTGCTATCATGCATGGATCGCTACGATCAAGCCTAGAAACACGACAGGCCCCCGCAAACTTTGCCTTGATCAACCCTATGTCGGTTAGCAAATCACGCAGATTCGTTCAGAGAGAAATCGCACCGAAAGAGCTAAGAACGCGCTGGCCTGCATGGTTCTCCCACCCTTGCTTCAGCAAGCCCCTATGCTGCAATGAGACACAAGGCCTGGCCAATGTCCATTAGTATGAGGCGCCGATCTCCGACCATCTGCAACATATTGGCCGCGGCTCCTCCCATAGACAGGTATTGGAGCCTTAAATGACGCTCGCCCTGAGCTGCCTGCCCGCAGGAGTGAGCTGGCAATATTTGACCTGACGGGAAGGCTTGCCTCCGAGGTGAGCAGCGGGCGTACAACAGAGCCATATAGGTGCTAAGTCTTGTCAACCCGTGTCACCCACTCCTTTCAGGTTGCCCTCCTGCAGGATGCCCCTGGTGGAAGTGTGGCAAGGGTATGAGTCGCATCATAGAAAATCCACGTCAACCTTGGGCCAAGAATGGGCTGGTCTGCATGGTCTTTTCACCCTTCCTTGATTTGGTTTGTGGTCCTGATCTCTAACACGAAGGCCTGGCCAATACGCATGACTGCGAGGCGCCAGCCCCTGACCGTTGGTGTCATATTGGCCGCGGCGATCCTCCAATCTAGAGCCTGATCTTATGCTTGTTGTCATCAAACCAAGGGATAGACGAAGCATGCGCGCGTTTGCTCGGACGCAATGTCACTAGCTATGGGCCGCTCTCTAACTCGTCCACACACCAACACATAGCGGGCCCGGTCGAAGGGGCTCCATTTCCTTCACTTGCGGAGACAGCGAGACCCCAGTCCGTCACTTCGTCGGAGAAACCTGTGAGAAGCGTCCCACAAGAGAAGCTCAGCGGGGTATCGTCGATGGAAAACTTTCTCAGGTCGTAAAGAATATAACCTGATCCAGGAGCTTGAGGCGCCCCGAGCGGAAGTTTGTCTTCGTGATCAGGTGTCAGGCGAGAACTACGGAAAATATAATGACCTACTCACAAGACTCAGTTGGATGCCTTTTCAACGCCGTGAGAGACACCTCATCTAACAAATTCGCCTCTTCTAAGTACTTCACATCCTTAGCTGAAATTGTGAAACACCTGTTTCCTCTATTTACGTCGTTTTCGGGGTTGGAGTGTAAAACTCGGCCAATGGCATAGGGAACGGAATTAGCAGCGTTCTTTAGAATTAGCCACTTCATAGTGAGATTTTTCATGAAATGAGCGTGTTGTTGAAGACAGATAGTAAGCAGGCGAGATTTCTTGGATTCAACACATTGGGGAAGGCCTTGTATTTCTACCTGAGAGGCGGCAAATGATGTCCAATCTACGGTACTCATCTCGCCGCCATAGAAGACCCAGCCAAGGTCTTCGCAACGAAACGCTCCTCGCATACATGCCCGCAATCGATCGACGTTGCTCCAGGCTTTCCGGGGCTAGAATGCGGTGGTCTGCATGGTCCTTCCACCCTTGCTTCAGCACACCCTCATCTCCAACGAGGAAGAAGGCATGGCCAATTTCCATGGCAGACAGTGCACTGACTACTCATGCAATGATCCTTGTCCTTACTTCTACAATCGCCCCCACCTGCAGCGTGCTTGAGGCCCTCTATCAGCTTTGGTGAGCAAGGTTCCGAATTCTTTTTGTATGCACGTATTGCTGCAATCAAGCCTAAGGCAAACTTCCACCGTCTTCAACGGTCATGGATGTATTCCTCTGAAGATTCATTGGTGGTATATGTTCCTGATACCGAAGGGTTCTGCGTAGGCTCGGCACACTATGGCTAGAGTCCCTTCGTAGTCTTAAGATATAGGGCTGCCCCGTGAAGAACAGCAGGTTCCTAACGCCCAACCTTCAGCAACATTCTATCATTGATTAGGGGTCATGGGAAATCTTCCAATTCTGTACTGGAAGTGCCAGGTAAGTGCACAGTACAAGAATCGCTCTCAGAGACTTCCTAAATTCGATCAGTGCGGAACGCGAAACGACGTGAAGCTGCGAACAGAGCGATTGAAGACAGATCGCAAAGTATGTTTCATTGGCAAACACTGCAAGAAGTGCCGGAAGAAGTTCAGTCATGGGAGCATACGAAGCGGTGGAATTTCTCCGATGAAGGATGGGACTGAGGACGAGGAAATGCCCCAGATCTCAGAGGAGGAGAAAGGTGAAATGCTTAAGGTTAGGAGTCGCGACCTTTGCACCATCATGGAAGCTTGCAGGAGCTGCGGGAACTTCGAACATCTAAGTCGGCATGCTCACTATAAAGTAAAGGCGAATGAGGTTTACATTGACATCGTAGATGGCCTTAAGAGCGTCTTGAATAATGGCTATAGCGATTTGCAAGATGACGAGGTCGACAGAGACTGGCATTCATAGATAGGCTACATCTCTTCATAGGCCTCCGTTTATCCCAGAAAAGATAACTGCACCACGTCATCTAGCGCGCACATCAGATGCTCCCGTGGCGACTTTCCAAATGTCACCAAACAATAGACAGTGTCCTCCCCAAATGTGCCTGCAATCGACTGGCCTAGCTTATGCACTCGCTCATCCATAGCAACTCTCCAAAATTCAACGCAGCTTCAAAGCAGGACTGGCATTAGAATTGGCCAAAAATTGACGAACCTGCAAGTCGGCTGGAGTCGTCGTTCGTGATTTTCGCACCCCACCCCGGGCGTGTCCGCCAAGCGAGACCCTCCCATGACCCTTGACCGCCGCACGTATCCACACCCCAGCGGCGCCGGGGAACTCGCTAGCGTGCCGCTGGCTGTGCGAGGATCCCGACGCCCGCGCGTTCTGGGTACTTGTGTGCCCGAGCAAGCCTGCAGCCATCCACAACCGACCCCGTCGAGGTGACATCTGATGCACGGTCTGTTGGAACGCCGATGTTCAGCTGGCAGCCCGGCCCAGCGCATCAGGTCTGGGCCTTGGATCTGGCCGTTATACCCCGTAACCGATAGGGATATCACCACGTCGCGTTGGAATAGATGGATGAGTGGAGTTGTATTGTGCTTAAGTGCGTTCTATCTCCTGCCTCCCGTTCTCCTCCCAGATGCTCGCGCCCCCACTTATCGGTTGTACTAGTCACGTCAGTATGAGCTGCTTGCTCGATCGGCCGTTCACGTACCACGACGCAGTCCTCGCAGCGAGCGCCATGCACGTTGACCCAGCCGGGGCAGTCAACGCCGTGCTTGTATCTGTTGACGCAGGGATAGCGGTCCATTGCGGTGGTTCTTGGACGATGATTGTGGGTGTATGAAGGTGTGGAAGATTTTGTGGAAGCTGAGGACATTTGAATGTTTGCGAGGGAAAAGCGAGCTATTTGTATTCAGAGCTTCCCGGTGGCGGTGGAACATTTATACACATGCCGTTCAAGAGGCCATCATGCCATTGCATGATCAGTAGGCTAAGGAAAAAAAGAAGCTGATTCTATTGGTACCCAACAACCTGCCCAGACACACCCGGCGCGGAGGGTATGTCCAATCTCAACATATTGTTGCACCAAGATTGCTCCCGGAGATGGTTCACCACTGACTCTTGCTGTTCACCTCTCATTCCGCAGTATTTGCATGAGAACCGCCTCAGATGCGCGTCGAGAGAGTTTCTGAGATCCAACAAATTAGCGAATGAGCCACACTTGAGACATATACCATCAGCCCTTACTGGTATTCTTCCACGGTCATTTCCGACTGGTGCATGCAATCAGACTTGGAGCGCCATAGACAGTAGTAGTTTCCATGCTGATCGCGGGGTGGCTCGCAATCTGGATATCCCCCGTCCTCGGTGATTCCATATAAATACATCCATGGTAGAAGATCGTCATTGGAGCTCATTTGTTGGGTGTCGGTAGGGCATACAGCTAAGTCATCAGCCGTTGTGCCCGTTGGCGCTATCGGCAGTTCTGAATTGCTGTGTAGAAGGTATCGAGGATGTAACTGAGTTTCTTCTGTACTCCCGCTCAACTGACTCCAAGTCGCTGTCGCTGCACTGGTAGATTCCAATGCGTCCTGTTCCCATTCAAGGTATACAGCTGGTTCCGCTGCTGTAGCGCCGAACATGTTGTTGGTGCTCCATTCGCATTGGCCATGCGATGGCTGGTATGTAGGTAGTTTTGGGAGCTCGGAAGGATCTAGCCCGAATACGTGGCATATGTCGTCGTTTATCTCGTCGGACGGAGTTTTCGGCGGTCGCAGGACTAAGTCTGTGAAGCCGCTCTGCGAGACAATAGACCACACGCGCACAATGCTGCCTTCTTTTCAGCTGAATCGCTCATAAAACGGTGCTCCGGGTACCTACAGCAGGCAAATTTGGTCTTGAAATGGCGGACATCGAAAGGTCTTGGTGCTCGTCCCGCCAAGAGCTATGCTTTGAGCTAGAGGGCCAACATAGCTCTCCTCAAAATTTTCCCAGTTGGTTCTGGGAATGCCCTCGCGTGGAAAGCTTACGGGGTCTCTGTCTAGCGAGTGCCTGAACACTCCGGTTGTCTGGTGGTAGATGAGGTAGTCTGCCAAACAAATCTGGGGAAGTGCGCCATGGAAAGTCTCGCCTTGGCCGCCGAAGCCGTTCGGTATGTAGAAGGGAAGAGGATTTGTGGTTGGCATCTTGGCGAAGCACTGCAAAGTCTGCCGCTGTTGAAGGAAGAGGCTAGAATGTGCACTTTGGGAACCAGCCGGCCTATGTATGATCTCTCAGGCCGGCTCCAGATCGGATCAAATCGAGGCACGACATCGACCAGGATCCTTCAATCCCCAGTCAATTTGTCGTCGGCGAATGAGGATGCATCTTAGCCCTTGCTCATACCCACTGACCCCAGTCACTGCAGTGCATCTACCCACTAGCAGGTGGGCGGAGATACGAATTGCCCTCCTTCACTGTTTCGAACATTTTGCAGTGAAAAGGAATAGTATTCTGAAAGGAGTGTGTCTGTGACTATGCTTGGAACCATCCGTTCATCCAGGTAATGACTGTTTCCGCCCATGTACTAGTAAATTGCGTGTACGCGCTTGCCACACTAAGCTGAGGCAAGACTTCCACAGACGCCTGATTTGCAACCTCTTGGTACTCTCCATTGCCCATCGACTGAAGCAGGACCACATCTCCGAGCACAGGTCTCACTTCGGGTTCGCAGCTGGCCGGACAAGGCACAGGGCTCGCACAACGATGTGGTATGAGCGGCTTAGACTGAAGAGACTCCGTCGTGTTCCAGTCGACAAGGGGCGTCTCAGACGCATACGGGAAGGTTTCGTCACGACGTATATAATCAGCGTCGCTCTGCCGCTGTCTTTTTGGTGTCGGGCCACCATCTTCGTCCGCCTTTCTCTTTCTTAAGTTTGGGAGGGATTTGGCAATCGTGTTCTTGACATCTCTCAGAGACGTCCGTCGTGGCTTCATAGAGTGTGAATCCGCCTCGCTCAACAGCGACGAGCCAGACGTGGGTTTCAGAAAAGACCAAACGCCTGAAAGGGCCACCAGTGTACAAAAGGTCCTGTGCCATTGCCAGAAGGATAGTTTCGATTCTTCCAGATCGACGAAGGTGACTTCCAAGAACGCATCCGATTCTTGACCCTTGCGAGGCTTCTTTCGTTCTCTCGCGCCATATGTAGGGTATGCAAAATCGGGACCGCGCGCAGCCTTCCTTGTAGAAGCCGAGATGCTGACTTGTTGTTCGGCGACAGGTTAGCTTGAGGATGCAATCGATGGCTTTTTCTGCTTTCCTTATCGATTTCCGCATACTCTGCTTCATTTTCTTCGATCGAAGTAGCGGCGAAAGTTTCCGAAGATTGTTGATCAGCGATGCCGGAAAATGCGCGTCCTCAGGGCCCCCTATTTCATCAAATACGCGAAGAGTGCGACGATGAATAAAGGCAAGGGTGTCAGGAATCTGCGAGTCTCCGGGCGAAGACTCTTATACCAAGATGTAGCCGAGCTCCCAAAGTCGGAAATGAATAGTAGAGGCCGTAGAGGCAGCTGAAAAAGAGATGCAAACAGCAAAGCGAAGCACATCAACAGACAGAGCAAAAGATCCCGAATGCCGCTTATGAATTCGCCTTTCTTAAGCCCTGTCACTCCGTCAGAGAGAAGCTCCAGTTTACGCCAGATCATCGGATCTGACATAGCTAAGTCGAATATGGTAGTAGTGGTGTTAGGTGTCGGCTGCTGCGCGAGGGACGGCCGCCGGAGTTCAAGTAGTGCCCGACTCAGTTCAGCCAGGGCCTAGCCCAGTGGCCAAGGGCAGTGATTGGGTTGGTTTTGGGCCGAACGATCCTCATCAAAAGGGCATGTTCAGCCAAGGTCTCTCAGTCGACCTGTCACCTGCAGTCGGCTCTATGAAAGCTGCGTGCGGTGCCGTCGAGACCCGCTCCGGCATCGTCTCAAGATAAAGAGCGTTCGCTTCCCCCTCCACTCACGTCGGTTGCCTTCCTGCATGAGCTCCTGCATCTTACACCCCATCACCCGCATACATATCTCGACGAACGACATGGATATTCTCCAGCTACACCAAAACCGTTACGCGCCTTTTGTCAGCTTTTTTGTTAAGGAAATTCTTGTCAACAAAGAGGTTCCTAAGTCTCTCGTGGAGTACTTCACCACAATGATTGTGTGCCATCTCCCAGCAGGCGATACAATCCGGGAGATTGGGTTATTCGTCTATCACTCGAGGCAACACAAGTTGCCGGACCTCATGAAATCGGAGTGGCGATGGTTAAATATTCATCTCCCTACGATTGGAGACTTTGGCATAGAAGACGTGGTCTCTACTGAAACTGCCTTGGTATGTCGCATACTGACTTTGAAGTCTTTTGATGCTGACGCGGCCAGCTGGAACTCTGGAAGGCTATGGCTGAAGTGGCAAAGGATGACGATAACCTGACAAAGGTCCAGGAGTTTGCACAGGACAGCATTGAAGACTCAAAGGCAATGTTGGACACCACCAAGTCGGCTAACGAGACGTTCATCAATTCTCAACTCAACGAGCTGAGCCTGTAGACATGGGGTAATCAGTAGTATTTCTCAAATAAAACAAATAACTTTGATGCCCCATGTGTAAATTCCATTGCCTGAGACGGAATGTGCTATCGTCAGCCACAGCGTCCCGTTTCCTTAGGTGTGATCGTCATCGACAGAAGACGACGGTCGCCTCCTTGAGATCCCTTCGTCGTCCCTGAGTCTCCTTTACTCAATGGTGATGACCTCGCTTGGCGCTCGCTCTGGCATCGAAGACGGAATTTAGCCATGTGACATGCAGCCGTTCCAGGGGCATAGAAATCGTCCATGATTTTTTCAGGTGGAGGCATGTTGATGATGTCGTCGAATTCTGCAACAGAAAGTTTCGTTTCCGGGGAGGTGTGTAAGACCATGAAGTTGCCTTCGCGTCGGACGCACACCTCCCCGGACGATTCCAAGGTGCGGGCGACGGCTTCGCGATACTTGCTACGCCGCAAGCCGTCCAATTCGTGAGCTCTCATTCGCCATGGTGTTGGTCGTTCTCGGCCCAGGTTCAGTATGTAGAACTCTACTTCTGCCTGGCTTTCGGGTGTGTAAAAAGCTGGAATCGTTGGCTGAGAGGTGGCCATGGTGATTGCAAGGAAGAAAGTGCAATTTTGCGATGCGAACCATGCGAACCAAGCAAGTCTCCTGGTCGCCTTTTCATACATCGGACTTTGCACCAATCCAGGGACACAATCAAGGACAGGGGCTACGTAGGCATAGATTCCACACCCATAATGCAACTGCAGGTGGGTTCAGCAGAGATCACACCGGGTGACATCCGCAAGGACTGCCACGATTGCCAGACTGGTTCCGCGTTTGCCGGGACCTGGAAGTGGCCCCGCTCATCATGATGTGGCCGCTGTCTTGGGAGTGGGAGAGCTCTCCAATTGCGATGTCTCGGATCTCAAAGTGGCAGCATCATCCGGTGGTGTTTCCATGGTGCTCGACGTCGGTGATGTTGAAAGAGCGTCAGATCAAGGTCGCCGCGGGCTCAAGGGCTGCAGGCACGCTAACGCAAGGGGGTGGGGGCCGTGGAGGTTAGTGTTGCGTCCCACAATACCTCCATGAAGGCTATCAGCCGAGATGGCAGAGGTACCTTACACAGAAGGGTTGAGCTTACCTAGCTTGATCCCCTAGCTGTTAAGGATTGCTAAGAGAATACCTGCGGTCCCTAACTGAGGTTGCTCGCCCATTGTGGTCTAGTCAGCGGGGTCTGTCCATGCACGGCGACCAGGATGGTGCCATCAGACGAGATGGCCGAGTTACCTTACACTCGTAACTCACAGAAGGGTTTGGCTTGCCTCGATTGATCCCCGACTGTTAAGGTTTACTAGCAGGATACCTGCGGTCCCTAACTGAGGTCGTTGGCCCATTCTGGTCTAGTTAGTGGGGTCTCCATGCACGACGACCAGGATGAAGGCCATCAGACGAGACGGCCGAGGTGCAGTAGGTTTTGGCCTGCCTAGATTGATCTCCCGACTGTTAAGAATTACTAGTAGGATACCTGCGGTCCCTAACTAAGGTCGCTGGCCCATTCTGGTCTAGTCAGTGGGGTCTTTCCATGCATGGCGACTAGGATATAGCTGGTCCCTGCTCCAATCCTAACCTCACGCCCCCCGCTTGATGCGGATAGCCCATTCTGCATCTGGCTCTGTAGAAGTGAAGATTGAATTGAGCCATCTCAAGACTCAACCTCTCAGTGATTGTACTCCACAGCTGGACCGATGAGAGCTCTTATGGGTTACTGACAAATTTGTCTAGACGTGGCCCCTGTCTGAGTACCATCGGGCATTTTGAACGGGGAACACGAAGGGTCGGCCCTGGTGCAGGAAGTCCGATCCGTCCTCTGGTGTGTGCTAACCACACCAGCATGTTCAGTTTTGTCAATTGCAGCGTACCTCCCATTCTCTTCAATTTTGTCAATTGCAGCGTACCTCCCATTCTCTTCAATTTTGTCACTCGCAGCGTACCTCCCACTCTCTTCAATTTTGTCAATTGCAGCGTACCTCCCATTCTCTTCAATTTTGTCACTCGCAGCGTACCTCCCATCAGAAGTTTCAGTGTATTGACTTCCCGGAGGATGTCGCCGATCGTGTCGGACAATCGAGGCTCTGCTGTGTCTCCTTCTTCGATGCTGATGACTTTGACAGCCACAATTTGGCCCGATGGAGCGTCTCTAGCTTTGTAGACCCGGCCAAAACTGCCTTTTCCGATCAATTCATGTAATACAAAAGGTGGCGGCGAGGTGCCGGCTTTGGCACATTGCTGATGGATCAACGCCTGTGTGTGAATGGCGTCGATGATCGCTGGGTTGGTAGAAGTCATCTTGCGCACGAACGTCGGTGGCATTGTGTCCAGGACAGAATTGTGGTAGGATTGCGGCGGTGACAGAATTGCTGATAATGCAGCGAAAGGAAGGCCGTGTGTGCTCCTCAAGTCGGATGATGCATTCACGGTGGGGGTTGGTGTCTATACACCAGGTTTAGGAGCTGCGTGGAAGAGAGGTACACACAACATTGGATCTGATGTACATCCCGCGCGACCTTACCTGTTTTGTGAAGACCTCCTGCAAGATCAAAGGCCCGTTTCACGTGCTGTTAGGCGTTATGGCAAAAAACACCTGCGGACCTTGTCAAGGATCCGCGAGCAGGGATGGTTAGAAGCTAGCGGAAGGGCATCTTTTCAAACTATTCCTGAGCGAGACGCCTGTTAAGCTCTGCTCAAAAAACACCTGCGGGCACTATCAGGGCCGTCAGCACGTTTCTGGACTAGGGCGACCCAGGTTCCCCGCCCGCACCTGCGAGCTGATATGCAGGCATGTCGGACATAAGTCACAAACTCAATGGCCGGAATCATGTTTTGATATGATCCCTAAATCGCTCCTATTAAACGGTTGCTCTAATTGACACTGGAATTTCTTGCCCGATTTGATCCGTCTCTGATGTGCTTAAGTCGTCTCGAGCCAAACGTGAAGGCAGCCGTCCGCTGTCCTTGGATCCTGTATTCGATCTCCACCACTTTACTCCTATCATAACCGCACACGGCAGGCACTGGAGCGAGGTTTCGAATGCAACCTCTTCATGTACAGAGAGTGCAAGTATGAATGCAGAGGCCACAGTCACCAGAGCACATAATCCAGCCAGGAACCACATGCGCGCTTTTGTATGGGATGGTCCGGTTCCTACATGCAATCTGGCTGCGAGGGCAGTCATCAAGCACAGAACAAGAACATGCAGCAGGACAAGGGCAGCAGAAAGCATATTCCTGCCCTCAAATAGTTGCCAAATGCCCACAATGAATACCAGGCATGGACCGATGCCTGCAAGAACCAAAGCAGACTTTCCGATCATCATGTTGGCTATGTCGAAAAGGGGTTCTGAGATGGCGCAAAAAGCCTCGAAAAACTGTGGACTGTTAGAGTTGGACTCGCTTGGATAAGGGTTGACTACCTCGATACAGCCGACCATAAAAATACATGTGCCCCTCAGAGCCCAAGAGAAGGGAAAGGCTAGTCTGTCATCTGTCGATGAGACAGACGCAAACGAAAGTGTCAGACAACAAAATAAGGCTGGTATTGCCCAAGCATACTTCCGATACATCCATGACAGTCTGTAACGGGACCAAGATGTGGTGCCGTCCAAAGCTCTGGGGTTACGGTACGCGAACCAGAAGAAAATCGAAAGATTTGCCAAGGCGAAGGCAAACCAACCGTCAATAATCTGAAAGTCGGATAGAAAAGCCATGGTGGAAGAAATGAGGTTGGCACACTGGAAGAATGCCAGGCACCAGTCATCAGTGCAGAGAGTGCCACTTATACAATAACAGGACATGCGCAGATTGATCCGCTCATGCAGGCACCCATGTTCACAGTGGCGCGGATGTTTTCATTTGGGTCCTTGCGGTGTACTTCGTACTTTCCTAATATGTCTCCTCTGGGAGCTGGCTCCCACCCGCTGAAATTCAGCTCTGCGCAGTGTACCTCCCACTTCCCCTTTTCCTCTCTTCTGGGAGCTGGCTCCCATCTGCTTAAATTCAGCTTTACGCAGCGTAGCTCCCACCTCCCCTTTTTTTTTTCTCTGGGAGCTGGCTCCCATCTGCTTAGATTCAGCTTTACGCAGCGTACCTCCCACCTCCCCTTTCTCTCTCTTCTGGGATCTAGCTCACATCCCCTTGGTAACCGATTCTCTTCCGTCGTCCCCAATCACCAACGATTCAGACCGTCAGCCGACATGGACCCGGCGCGCATTAAACGGAAGATCGAAAGATTTGAAAAACTTCTGAAACGCAAGGAGCTGGCCCAAAGCACCACCGAGAAACTAGCCGCCAGCACAAGAGCTCGTATCATCAAAAATTCACCGTTATCTTCAACTGTCAGCCGCCCGAAGGTCCTTTTAGAAAAGATTGCCAAAAGCCGATACCACAAATTGCATGGAGTCGACAAAATCTCCCTCACAGGGATGGCAATTCTTGCGAGGCGTATCCATCCTACGGAGTGGGATGCTGTCATTCAATACTCTGATGTTCGAGATGATATCTTATCACACCTCAATACCCTGCCGAGGGACCTGGAGGCGTGTATGAGCTTTCTGGCGAGCTTGTTTCGAGCAAAATCGGAATGGGCACGATTTTATCTTCTAGGTATGATGGTTCGGCAAATTTGAGGCCGACACTAACGAAAAACTAGAGCTGGCGTATGAAGAATGGCAGACGGACATCCCGACCCTTTTCAACACGATCCTACATTTCGAGAATGATGGAACAATAGTTCTGGAACATGATGAGAATGAAGATGTAAGAGAGACAGCGGGGACCATCAAGGCGTCAAATCCTAGAAAACGAAAAAGAGCTCTGTCTTTGTCCGAGTCAGATGGAGTGTCCGACGGCCTCACGAGCGAAACTACAGAACAGCCGAAGACGAGTCCCATGGACACTTCGACTGCCGACCTCTCCGAATCAACTATTATTCCCAATGCATCAAGTCCGGCAACCGACGACAAGCGAAGACTTATTGTGGAACGTGTCCGCGCTCAGGGCCTTGGGACGCAGAAGCAGAAACTGGCCCTCGGATACCTCAGCAACATGTCCGCCGAAGCCATCGACGACTTGTATATGAGCATCTTCAGTGGACTTGGGATGGATAGGCACAAGATTACACATGCAATTATCGACATCTGGCGTGCCTTAGGCAAGGCTGAGATGAGCGTGGTGGAAGACACTCTTGCTTTGCTGACATCGGTGCAAATAACTGCAGACGTCGGGGGTGATGGGGATTTCGAGGTCAAGATCAAGTTACCAAGAATTGAGGGTCTTGCGTTGATTTCCAAGTACACGTGGCCTATACACGCCGACGCCGTATTCCCTAGCTTGTAGTATCCAATACGACTATTGTTCCTGTGAATAGCTCGATGGAGTCTCCTTTCTTTGCTGACCCTGTCTTCTGTAGGAACGTAGGCGGCCAATACTTCCATCTCTCCGTACTACCATCCATGACTCTGAGGCCTAGTGCTTGAATGACTGTAACTTCGATGTCGCTTGATACTGTGATGTGCGCGGCGTGCCGTTGCCACTCTTCATTACGTGGGATCTCGCTACTATCCTCGGTAGTGTCAGACAAACTCTTCTTAAGAAACACAGAACTCTGTTACAATGCTCATCTTGATATCTGTGTTTGCGAACTCCCACGCTTGGTGGTGCCAATGATGTTATGGCGCGTGAATCGGATTGCGAAAGGTTGATGCCCAACAAAATATTTTAGGTGGTCAGCGCAGCCTTACCGCTTCTCGGCACTGGGATATGATTTTCCGACAACGCAAGGGTGATCCGAAAAGTGGCTCGTAAGTCTAAGCCACGACTGCGGCAGGTGGTAAGCCCCATCACTGATGCAAAATGCAGTAGGACGAGAATCGATATTTCGAAACCGATCTGACTTGCGTCTTGCGACACAAAGGGATGAGCAGAGAAAACATTGAGTAACAGAAGCTCCAATGCGAATCAGGGGTAATATTTTTACCAAACCCTACTATGTTCAGGAACTCTAAATACACTCCTCTCAATTTGTTTACTGCTCTTTTGAGTAGTAATCGTCTTGCATCTGCTGATATTCTCTCGAAATACCACCGTCAGCTCCCTTCTCACCTCGCTTGTGACTGCGGTCTCCCCAAAACTTCTCACGGGCCTGTAAGATTTCTCTAGCCCATGCCTTGCACTCTTCGGACCGTATCTTGTTTGCTACACCGGCAAACTCTCCTAAATCGATACCACCCTTGCCTTCCTCTTCGTACTCTACGAATTGGAGTAGAAGCTCAACCTTGTCCAAATCCTGTGCGATCCGGCTTTCGGGTGTTTCCGCAGCTTCAAATTCATGCCAGAGCTCTCGGATGAAAGCACCAGACGGGCCTGCAATGCTTGCGAAATAATCAATCGTACTCATCTCACGCCGGCCTTTCTCCTCTCTCGATACTCCGCTCATGGGGGTGAGATCGCCGACGAGACTCTCAGCTATGTCATGAACAAGAGACATCATGACACATCTTTGCACGTTGAGATGCGAGGGAGCCAAAAGGGCCATCATGGCCATACGATGACTGTGGTCTGCAATCGACTCGCCGTTTCTGGACTCGGTTAATAGGGTTCAAAAGAGCAAGGAGGTGAGCAGTACTCAATGCCATGACGACGCCATCCTTCGCGCTTGATGGTTTTTAGCTTTCCGAGTATGTGAAAGAAATGTAGCGGCGAATTCTGATCAAATTGCAGGCCATCTTTCGGCACAGCTTGGTCAACCGCCCACAAGGCCGACGCTGTTGGAAGCTGTTAACAGAGGCTGTACCACCAGAACCAGCCATACTGACCAGATTGTTCACCCTGCATTTGAGATATTCACGGCAAATTATTACCGTCAAAAAGTTACACTTGGCCTCATGATGTGTAAAAAGAATGGAATCGTGCTTACGACCATTGTGGACTGACGAGGATTTGTGGGCTCTTACCCCGCTCAGGCCCATAAATATGACGGTGTTTTTGTCGCCTTGACGCGACGACAACAGTGGTCTTGGCATTTACCCCGCACGCCTCAAAAACTGACTCAACGGTTGTGTTCTACAGCGAGACAAGTTCTTCAAATAAACAAACATCATGGACCAATCTCAAGAAGCTTGGATCAAGTCGCCGCTGCCCTTCCTTCACCAGCTGCAAGAGCTGAAACACCTTCCAAGAACAGGCTGGTTACGTTTTGTGAAGGATTGCGAGACAGTTGCAAGCCATAGCTGGCGGCTGGCTTTGCTGGGTCTCTTTGCGCCGGTAAGGTTCCGTCATGCTCCTCAGTACTGTCTAACCTTAGTCCAGGCACCATTGGATAAACAGCGATGCATGTTCATTGGTCTAGTGCACGATGTCGCCGAATCATATGCTGGCGATATACCTACCTTTGCTGGCTTTTCGAAGGGTTTGTGGTCTATGATGCCGGAGATTTCGCGACTGACATCAACCAGACAGGAAGCAACAACTGGAGCGCACGGGTTTCAAATGGATCGAGAGTCTCGTCCGGCCAGGTTACCCGGTCTTGGCCCAAGAAGTAGTCGACGCTTGGCTGGATTATGAAGAGGGAAGGACCAACGAAGGGCGGTGGATGAAGCAAATGGACAAGTTAGAATGTCTGATACAGGCAAAGGAATATGAAGAACGAACATACGGCGAAGCCGGCGGTCTGGGCGAGTTCCAAGGTCTCTCCAATCTCGTCCGAGACCCCATAGCTAAAGCTTGGGCGGATTTGCTCAACAAGGAGAGAAACCTACATCTTGAAAGGCGGGGTAGTCGCTTGCCTATTATATTTATCACTGGTAAGTTCACTGAGTCTAGAAAATAGTGCCTCTCTGACGTGTCGTAGGAGATGAGGCGTGGGCCCGAAAGCTTTGCACCCTAAAGGCCCAGGATGGGAGCTATCAGCATACAGTCTTGGCCAGTGTTTTGGCTCAGCGGGCCGAAGATCCATCTTTCGTTCACAAGGACTTCCTTAAGTACTGTTTGACGCAGGGTTTCGACGTTCCTAAGGCGCTTGTTGTGGAAACACTAGGAGAACATATCAGACGGTCTGCTGACGCGGGTCCCCGGTGGATTCTACTTCAGGGCTTTCCCAAAACGCTGAGCGAGTTAGTCGAGTTCGAGAGAAAGGTAAGCGGTTGTCTGAAAATGCGAGTTTCCCCACCCGGGCTTATGATCCCAAGGTCCAAAAGCAGAACTTCTGTATCAACATCCTCACGCCAGATGTTTCCAATCCCGACGATTCTACCGATACCCCTGTTTGGCAGGCTGAAGTTGATCCGACCGTGCACCTGAAATCATCACAGAATTGTTATGAAGAGGTGAGTGCCGACGAGCAAATTGTTCGTCTTCAAACTAAGTTAGGCTTAGGTCTCTATGGAAAGGGGAGCAAGAGATGAAGAAGCAATGCTTCAATTCGATATAGCGATTAAGAGGTTGATTGAAACCGATACTCAAGAAGGTGATAGTCAGGAGTGCGGTGGGGGAAACTCTGTAGTGGCTCATTGAGCGTTGACCAAAGAAATCATCTATCAGCTATATGTGTATGCGTGAAGGGGCTTGATTGATCTAGGTACGAGCGCCGAGCGCGCCTAGCTACAAAGTGGTGTGGGCGACCCCATACGTAAAGGCGGGATTCGGGCCCAGATTCGGGCCCGAGGCCCGGGCCCGGGCGTATGCCGTCTCGCGGACGTATCGAATGGGGTGGGTATCTTGTCTTTGTCAGCCTCTTGGCAGAAGGACCTCAAGGTCGAGCGGGCTCGGATCAACTGGTAGACCGATATCAATGCATCATGCATGTGACGTAAGACCATCCGGCCAATCAACTTTCTGAATGCATGTTCCCTTCAGAAGGATAAACACAGAACGTGACCCCGCCCCGGAACTTCCTCTGGACACGCTGCAATCACAAACGACGATGCGCATCACATTCCCATTACAATCCACGCCCACAGAGGGGGTCGTCTCGTACCCGCCTATTGCAACCACTGTATCAGATACGTACTATCGTCTCTATTTGTTACAGGCCTGCCAATTATGCAACAACCGAAAACGAAAGGTTTGTGACGAACCCAACCTGCTTTCAACCACTAACTAGGTAAAGTGTGAACGTAGCGAACGTGGAAACCTAGAGTGCACAGCTTGTCGCAGACAACCCCTTCACAGCTGTCTACCGCGCATACCAACTGTGTATCCATTCAGCAAATGTACCATGCCTTCATACGACAGCAATCAGCCCAGACTAACCTCAAGACAGGGAAAAATGAGGAATACGTGAGAAACCTTGTGATTAACCCCAAAGATTTGTACGTTGGTACCGAACGCGAGACTTTCGTGCAACATTTTCAACCTGGCCCGGCATTACGGCTTGAGTGCCGGCAATTTGTTCCAAATTGCAAAAACCACGGCCGTGCTGTCGTGAAGAATGATGGAGGCTGGCACAGCATTCCAACAACCCTGTATGGCATTTCTCGTGCTGAGTCAATTCCAATCTACGTGAAAGATTGTGTTCCCGCGGCAATTCAAGCAGCATCGGAAAAGATTCCACAGTTAAGGCCGTTCTTATATGTCGCCAGTCTACTCAGCCAGGTAAGGCACCCTCACCTGCTGATAGCAAGCAATGTTTGTTTTCAATCTGATCATTGCAGAATCCTCTTATTCAAGCATGTTTGGAGCTGTACACAGCGTTATGCTTGATGCGTCGTCGCATCTTGTTTTCTCCTGGAGCAGATACACTGGACATGCGACACGTCGTTGATCCAACTTCACCTTGGTATGCGACCGTGCCAGTCCCGCGCATGGTGCAGAGCCAGATCATTCATAGTTTGGAGAGCGTGATTCAAACGCTTGACGAGGCGGTATGCGTCAAAATCTCAGACCACCAGAGGATGAAGAAGGAACCTTTACCGGTCATACTGTTGGTTTACTTCTTGTTATTACATGTGAGAGAAATAGATGCGGGTCGAAACATATATTGGAGCCGCTTTAGTGATCCGGTAAGTATCTGTGCGGTTTTCTATTCTCAATTCTAATGGAACCCAGGATAAATTTTGGCAGCATCCCATGAAACCCGCATACCTACTTGAAGAGGCTACGGTGTCATGCCAGCAGCTTCTATCTGATTTTCATTTTCAATTCGGTCAGCCCTTCCAGAAAGCATGGTCAGTAAATTCAAGCGAGTCAGGAATGGATTCGGAGAATCTCATGAGTATACTGAGTGCTGGAGTCAACCAAATAAGTGAGTATATCCTCAGCCTGAAGAACTCCCACTGATTCTTGTGTAAGAGCAGTCGGAAATCTCACAGGCTTCTGTAGAAGATGCGTACAGGTTGGGAAAGCCAGAGTCTCTTGCTCTGATAATTAGCTCAAGGCTCTTTGTCGATCCTAAGAGGAGTCTGGAATTCAAGATTTGTTAAGTTGAAAACAACGCGGAGTGGATTCGAACGGTTCCTCGGTTATCAAGTCATGGGTAAAATAGATGCTATGCAATCCGTGCTGTTTTTGAGACATTGAAAAACTGTTGGAAATGGCTGCAATGCTTATAGCGTAATGTGTAGCCTTAGTATACCTTTCGTCGTCTTTTGGGTAGTCGTGAGTTCTTTGACGCATCCTGTATTGCTCGTTTGTGGGCCCCAGTTCCAAAGGCAGCTCGTAAGCCTTGTCTGGAAACCAATTTGTCAACGTTGAATGGTGAGCCGCTGATATGCTGTGGTTCCGAATTTCCTTCCCGAAGGAGTATCGCGATCTTATCAGTGAAAGGTATTGCTAGGTGCAACCTAAGATTTCCCGTGGTGTCTACCCCAAACTCTTTCCGAAACCTAAACTGGCAATTATTGATGAGAAATGTTGCTCGGAGTCTACGCAATCTTTGGATGATAGCAGATAAGGATGGGTCTGGGCTCTTTCTGACACAAAGTATCTTCCCTTCTATCATGCTGCCACCTTGAGGCGGAGAACACAGTTCAAAGTAGAACAAGCCTGCGACCAGTTTCTGCGCTGACTCTTCGATGTCAATCGCGATGTTTTCGTCTGTCTGGACTGCAGTCCTAAGAAGAGGGATCTTTTCAACGTCATCGAGGGCCGGTTCTGTATCTCTGAACTGCACGTCAAGACGACGACATTTTGCAGTCATGCGCTGACAACCAGACCAGATGAAATCAGTCCATGCTCTGCGACCCCCAATGAGATTCAAGTAAGCCCTGGCCAAGCGCGGTATACATCTACCCATCAGAGAGGAACCAAGTCTTTCCAGTGGTTTCTTTTCAGAGGACCCACTGCCGATATTGAAGATTAGATCAGGCACTTCCAGGTCTGGATACAGCCTTCGCATCTCAGAAACACAAAATGAGATCGGATTGTTCGTGAAGACACCTGGATCTTGAAACGTTCCGACACCCTCGATGGCGTAAGGAGGAAAGTAGCTATGAAGTTAACAATCGTGCGCCTGGATAAGTCATTGCACCACGACTTACCAGGGTGCTGCGGTGCTGCTGCGCATCCTGTGCCTGTTTAGAGTGATACTTTAGATGGCGGAGACACTTACACTTCCCACACACAAACATCGTCACAGTCGAGAGGAATCAAGTATCCTAAATTCATTAGTAATTCGACCTCTTTAGTGGTTATTGGGGATACGATTACCTGGAAGTCCTGCTTTGTTGTGATTTCTATAATTAGTGAACAAATAAACTTTGTCATTGCTAGTAGACACTGCCGGAATTCCAATCTTTGCACCTGTAGCATGCGCATACGAAGCATTCTGCAGCTTTTGACCCCCAAACACTTCCCGCAAAGCCGTTTCAATATTATGAGGAGAGTACATGGCGTCGGAAAGTAAAATTGAGACGAGTTTTCGAAATATATCGAAGGGTATCAGAGCCCACTTGCGTGGCTTGAAGGCCACTTGGGCGAAGGCTTCAAAAGACGTAGCACATTTGGCGACTGACCAGCCATTAATGAAAAGGGCACCAACAATGACACTCCCTGGAAATGCGTGAGAATAAGCTTGTAATGTACTGAAAGACCACACGTACCTGCGCTGATGCCATACGCAAAGTCGAAGTGTTCCTGGATCGGAATCGGTAGGTCTACCTTTTCTTCTAGAAGCCTCAATATCTCCAGAGACAAAGCGCCTCTGACGCCACCACCATCAATGCTTAGAAGCTTGATGCCGGCCGTGTCTGGAGACAGGCGGAGTCTAAAATTGACATCCTCATGGCAAAGTAGACAAGCTTCATAATGGAGCAACAAACCATCATGTGGGGCAGAAGCAGCGAGGTTTCTTAAACACTCGACACATATGCTATGCCCACAAAGAAGAAGATGCTCTGGAACTCTTGACAAGCAAGTGAGGCATACGGTACTGCTCTTGATAGCTCTCCAGTGATGTGTGAAACTGTCGAAAACTTGTCGGTGAACATTGACGGCCGAGGTTCCCGTCAAGAGTTCCTTGAAAAGTTCTGCAAAGGAGCTGCAAATCTTGTCCACGAAGGAACTTGGCAGTAGTATACCGCCTTTGCGACCAACTTGAAATACAGCCTGTGCCGCGTGCATGCATGCGTCTCTGTAAAGCGTGTTAAAAACCTCTTTCGGGCTGAACAAGTGCATTTCGGGTACGTAGTGATCCAGTATTAGACATGCTGCAATTGTTGATCCCGCAAAAGAGACAAGGTCTTTAGCATCTGTGATCAAACTCAAGTAATCTTGAAGATATCGGGATAGGTTTACGCTCACGGGGAAGTCCATCCTTGATGCTTTGACAGAATTGAAACCATCTCTCCGATGCTGGGTAGAACTAAAATTAACGTCGAAGAGGTGTTGGAAATGCTTCACTGAGAAGGCGTAGCATAACCGCTTCCTTCTGGATTGCATATCCTGTGCGCTCTTAGCGAGGATGATCTTGAGCTTTCTCTCTGGTCTGACCCCTAAGGCCTCTTGAATTTTGATTGCAGAGAAAAAGTGACGTAGCGGCAGTGAGGCTCTCTTGTTTATCTCTGCGTCGATGTAACTCTGAACTGAAGTAGAATCGACGGAAAATTCGAGAATAATCAATAGATGAGGAAGGACTGGCGACGGCTCGAGGGTTTTGGTTCTAATCCATTCAACCAATCTGGTCACGATGGAGTCGACGTCCTTGAAGCAATACGAGAAGAAGCAGAAGACGTCTGCAAAAGGGTAGATTACCCGCCCATACATGGTGGATTCCGCAGCTTGATATGTTTGACAGGTGTTGAACGTCTTTTGGTGAACGGCCATGCATTGTATTCTTGAGCATGGCTCCTTCACCTTCCTGGGGTATAAGGATGCGTAGCTCAGGAGTAGACCATCTTTGAGGTGCAGAGAGAGGCCGTAGGTCTGGGGACATTGGGCGA